GTGTAGGCATTGCTATGTTGCAGTCTATTATTGGGATATTTATAAATATCTAGAAAATGTTTTCCACAAATATGCATGTTATTATATATTTTGATTGGATCCAGAGTTATTTCTCCACCAACATTGTCTAGCCATTTTTTAAATTTCTCTGTTTTAGTTCTAGGTTCAGGAAACCGGTGCAAAGGGATACCTGAGTAACATAATAATATGTATTATTCTCTGCTATTCACACAACAAATTATTAGTCCTTAATTATTTGTATAATGGATGAACAAATAACAATTCTTAAATTGTAGGCACATAATAAGTTTTTTAATGAATATTGTATTCTACGATAGCTCAAAGAAAAATACCTGAAAAACATTTGAATTATGAAACTCCACGTATAGGTATAAAAATCGGTTGAAAACTTTGTCATTATAGTACAATTCATAAAGTATTTATTGTACAAACTAAAAAGCACTTACCGCTATCCTTAGTCACTGAACATTAAAGTACACAACAACGGTTTTGAGCCATGATTTTTTGAGCAAAGTTCAAATTAAAAACAAGTAACATTTCGGTACGGGATATTTCAAGACACAATACGATTGCTAACACAATATATTTCGATTACACGGACGAACTTAATCAACTCAACGTGAAAAGCAGAAAAAGTTACAGGAACTTGCAAAAACTAACAAGCACACGGACATTCACTCAATACATTTTCAATTTGCGAAGTTAGTTTTAAAGTTTACGCACAATACCAAACCATTACATACGCGCCATTTTCAATTGATATTGCCATAGTATATTTAATATTACCACTTAAATTAGAAACATTTCTAGTGACAATTCTATAATTACTATATTATTCTGTAACAAGATATATTATTTCAATAATATTAAGTATCATAAGGCTTTTTAACTAAGTTTCAAGTAATAATAAACAAGATTTATTAATGATGCCTTTAAAAATTATCCCCAATTATAAACACATTTATTTATTGTGGCTACACCATGATTTCTATTTTAAAAGCTGGTACATAGATGGCACTGTAAAGTAAAAAAAAATCGAGTTCTAAGTTTGCATAGCATGGTCAGCCCTTTCTCTGACCTCAAAAAAAAGACCACAAAAGAAACGTCACAATAGGGATGATGACAGTAAACAAAAGTCACTAAAGTAATGCATCTATGTAATGAAATGTAAATTATGGATTGCAAAAAACGTATTTATTTTTTAATTATGAGTGAGATTATTTAATATTTTAATAAAATAAAACCACAAAATACGACAATCCGCCATGTTATATTGAACGCCAATCAGAGCGAATTACGTCACGTTCGACTACAATGACAGCTCTTCTTAGTTTCCCTCTATAGCAAGTGGATAATTTGGTTTGTTTTCATAAATATATTAAATAAAATAGAAAGTGAAAATACAAGAATGGAACCAGGATTTACAAAGGCAACCAGCACAAATTTGCCAAGAGTCGACTTGTTGATTCTAGGAGCGTTTCTAGGGTCAAATAAAGACTTTTGTTCGTCAGAATTTAGGAATGTAAAAACATCCATGTAAGTACAAATCATACAATAAAATCACTTATAAATGAATAAACATAAGACAAAATGTTTCAAAATATTATGTATACTTAATGATTAAACGAACTTACCAAGTGAAGTTCTATCATAATTATACGAAGCGCCTCGTTCGAAGAGATTAGTATTTATTTGATTAGATTATATTACTAGTAGTATCGCATATGTGTCACTACTCCGGCACTATAGTTGAGATTTCTTTGCATTTGCTTTTTTTTTTTTTTTTTTTTTTTATTACGAGGGTAGTTCTCATCTTCTTAGTCGATACCGTTCCCTGCCATCTTCATTAAGTTTAGAGATAGATCTGGTTTATTGATGTATTTCCGGAGAACTTAGTATTGGGAATAATGTTCACAGGGTTGGGCGGGTTTACTAATCTCTTCGAACGAGGCGCTTCGTATAATTATGATAGAACTTCACTTGGTAAGTTCGTTTAATCATTAATTATACTTCGCGCCTCGTTCTCGAGATTAGTATTTATTTGATTAGATTATATTACTAGTAGACTTTGAGAGTGTTGAAAATAGATTTAGGAAATATCATCAATAAATGACGATAACTTGCTTTTTATATATATAAGTATTTATTAATTATTAACAAAAAAAGAACATAAAGAGAATTGTTCAATTTTGGCTTTTGGTGGACAAGCTAATAAGTAAAAAATATGTAAACAGTAAATTATTATTAAAACTGAAAGAAAAATTATTTTTAATACTCTCGTCATGGGAAACTAAACATTAAAAATATCACATAAAAAAGTATTTTTTGGATTCGGATGTGTTTTGTTAACATATTTCACTGTGTTTCCATATCAATAAATGTTATTGAAGTACTATTACTAATAGTATCGATTAATCGATAAGTTTTAACTTTAATAAAAATAAAAGTAATTAAAGTATTTATATATTAATACATATACATTAGGTAATCTTTTGCAATATCATGTATCATATATATTAAAAACATAAGAAATAATCCTTTTCGGTTAGATATATAGGTTAATTTACACAAACTATTGATTACTTTTTAATTGATTAATAATTCTTATAGGGCAGCACCATTCCACTTTTGTCAACAAAGACATTTGAGTGATAATGATAATTCTTACGTTTTGATTTTGTTGTTACTTTCGACCAATTTATTTATTAACCTCTCGAAATGATGACCCGGCTATACCTATGGACACCAAACCAAGCACAAGTAGAGGACATCGTCGGCAGCTTTGTATAAATTGTGAAAGATCTATATTACGTACTAGATCACATCTGCAAAAAATATCCGTCAAAGAAACACATTAGTAATATAATTATTAATTGGATATCCCCACGACAGGTAGGATTATAGTTATATTTATTTATTTTGATTATTTTACCATAATTAAGCTTCCTGTGTGACAAGTAAAACATTAATATATCGCTGCCCTATCGTTTAAGTAACATTTTGTTGACAAATAATTTAATATTATATAATACTCTTTAGGTGTATGGCAGATCCATATCGCGTCTGTTATCCATGTTAGCAGCAAGCAGATATAATATTCTGGAACCTATACAGATCATTACCGGATTATAAAAGAGCACTTGATTCACAAGTATATTGTTTTGTTCCTGGTTGCGACTCACCACAGCGACTGACCATTCCCACATGGTATCAGGTAAAATTGTTTATTATTTTTGCCTTATTATTGTAAAAATAGTGAAACTAGTTTGTGAGCTTTGTGCCTCTTATCCTTACTTATATCATAAACTAGAAACATTTGATTGTTAGTTGAGCTTGTTAACAAACTTCGAAACTACAAGACTGATGTAAAAAAATCCTTTTACTTAAGGGAAGCTACATCTTTCATCAGGATGATATAGGCTACTATTTACATGTGCGAAGGCGTGGGAATACTGTACCTGTAGTTCAACATTTAATGTTAATTTATTTTTTAATAGTAATGTACAAATGTACTGGATAGGTGTTTTAAAATAGTTCTTTCTGTTAATAGACGCAGATGTAAATGTGAGTTTACAGCCACTCCAAGCCGAAGAGTTGTTCTCGAGGGTGAGCACAAATTAGGAGAATAGTTGTGTTTGACTGCAAGCACACGTCATGAGAGGCCATGGAAGATTTAACGATAAGGACATCATGTGACCAACTTATATAAATGTAGCTGCTTTTTTGACCACCCGAATGCCAGCTTCCAGCTGAAGACAAACTGTATGAGCAGTGTAACTTATTTATTAAGTGATCATGTAAAGTCTATTCTTATAAATAAGTGTATTTAGAAGTACTGTCTTTTGCTTGTAGAATTGTATTGTCAAATTACAGGTAAATATGTGTAAATCTACAATTTTTTTATTTAACCATCTCTGCTTCTTATTTCTAACCTTAAGACATGAAATATTGAAAAATAATGTTTTTTATAACTGTAGATAATGTCCACTCAAAGTGAAAGTGCCCATACAAACTGAACAATTCCTTTTGACATTTATTTCCATTCTAAATTATAGTATAGGTAGTAATTACAAAATTTTGATACACTGATTTATTTATTTAATGGTCAATAATTGATTGGGCTAATGATGTACAACCATGATTATGAATAGGCCTGTTGTAAAATTGTGCGAACACAGTAGAGTTGCCCCTCCAGCCCGCAGTATTACGGATCGCACTGACGGCTTTTTTAATACCTATAAACAGAGCATCAGATTTTATTAAGGGAGTTTGTCTCATTAATATAACATAGTAGTGTTTTTGCTGGACACACATTTGGCCTACTATTGAAAAATGGTAGATAAAGTATTGGTTTCTCACGACCTGGTTTTGAGTCTTAATAATTTGTGGTATTTTAATAACAACCTGACTGTGAGATATGTGTATGTTTTTGATTTCGATTTTTGACAACGTTTGCATTCTATGTGCTGTAGTTAATGCCAGTAACGTTAATGTCTTTTTAGTCAATTGCTCTAACGTTAGGTCCTCATTTGGGAACCATTGGCTTATCTGATCTAAAACGCAATTCGTATCCCATGTAAAGTTATACTTTGGAAGGGGTGGTTGAAGACGAAACACACCCTTAAGAATCTCTGAACTCTGTCATCTTTACCTATGTGTGATCCTAATAAAAAAGATATGGCAGATCTGCATGAATTCAATGTACCTAATTGACCACCATCGTTAAACAACACGAGTAAGGAAGTAAATAACGGTAGGGACTGAAGCTGTAAATACGTCAATGGAATTATTATTGCAAAAGGTCCACCATTTTTTTTTTTTTTTTATTTTATTATACGTCATATTGACTGAGTGAATTAGGGATAATGAGGCTAACATTATATCCAAGGAGGAAGTTGGTAAGCTCCTTCTTGATAAGGCGTTCCTGGTAAGGTTGCTGCCACCAGGGTAATCGATTCGTGAATCCTTCGGGAATGTATTCAGTAGCGACGTCGTCCCTGTGTTTGAGACGGTGGCGGGCGGCGGTGGTGGTGGCGGCAGCGGTTGCGGCCGCGGCCACTACCTTGGGGAGGTAATCTGCGCGGGAATGCAGGCTCGCGACTCCTCTGCGATGGGCCTGGTTGCCTGTACGCCGGCCCGGGAGCTTTCCCGTTTAACTGATTCTGATTAGATATTTTTTGCCGTTTACTTATATTTTTTGTAGAAGGGTCAGCCTTTAATTCGATTCCAGACTTGTTTATTGATTTTGCTGTCATAAGAGTTTCAGTCAATGTTTCGCCGAATAAAAATGAATCGATCTTTTTTAATGAAAACATTATAAAGTTTCTTCTAGTAACTGAATCGCTATGTTGAATATCGCACAGTAAACGACTGCGGTCCATTAGCTAAAGCAGTTATTCTTTATCCTTTTCCTTAGAGTTAAGATGAGTAATAATTATTTCTCCAAGACAAGCAATAGCACTGGCCATTTGCGTTTGTTTACCCTCTATGCCTTTGTCCCTCTTAAGAGTATTTTCAAGTATGGCAGCCTTGATTTCAGGGTTAAGTTTTGGAGCACTAATAAGAGAGCAATTAGCAGCAATTGGGTACTTCGCTATCAGCTCCTTACGGATATCCTTATTAAGCCCCTCTATGGTAATATGAGTTAGTCGACAAGCGAGTCATGTGGTTATACCGAGCTTCTCTAAGTGCGAAGGATCTTCGCCGAGAATTTCAAGGACATCGGTGTCCAGATCATTTTCGTTATGGACCCCTTCTTGGGGCCGTAACTTTGACTCGACAGGTGGTTCGTTAAAGGTCGTCGCGTCGACACAGTCATCCTCAGTGTATAGTATAAGTTTTGAATGTCACTGATACCAATCATGGATTGTGGATCATCGTCATAATGAGGTTGTTCTAATAACCAATCACTCGGCACCATAGGTGGGGTGGCAGAAAGATAAGAAAATCGTTTGAGATTTTCATTCATATTATGACTATGATGATCATAGTCATCCATAAAAGTATGCGACGAATCAACCCCAACGGCAGTTCAGGTGCATACTTTTTGTTTTAACGTAAATACGTTATAGTCTGATAGGTACGATATGTACAATAGCACTTTTAGATAACGATAGTTATCTTGTCAAAGTTAGGTAGATCCCCAATGGATTGAACGCTAACTGATTTATTGAATGCGTTGAATAAGCCCCAATGACTTTTCTGATTGCATTCCGTACCAATAAATTCGGGCACATGTCACTAACTGAACTTTCCTTATCACATATTTTTTGTTCTAATTTACGCATTTTCTTTTGAGGATGTTTTAACTCTTCTTCACATGTTCTAACTTTCGTACGTTTCGGCATTTTAACGATCTGTTATACACGTTATTGGGAATACGACCGGAGCAGTCGGGCACTATAAAGCGAATGAAGATGGCAGGGAACGGTATCGACTAAGAAGATGAGAACTACCCTCGTAATAAAAAAAAAAAAAAAAAAAAAAAGCAAATGCAAAGAAATCTCAACTATAGTGCCGGAGTAGTGACACATATGCGATACTACTAGTAATATAATCTAATCAAATAAATACTAATCTCGAGAACGAGGCGCGAAGTATAATTTCTGTTTTTCAATATACCCTTCAATGAAACTTCTAATATTACGCTTGGAGGTTATATTGCAATTATTCTTTTAATATTTACCTACCAAATACATAGTTGTAATCTGAGTTGTAACATGGTTTTCTTTATTTTAGGTCCTCCAGAGCATCATATGGCGACGATGCTATAAGTTACGTCCAGGTTAAACGGGAAGGAAATCTGTGCATAGTAAAAGGCAAAATCTGCCCAGAACATAAAGTACATGCAAAATTGTATGGAGTGACTTTAGTGATTGATGAACAGGAAGAGGCAGTAAAATCAATTGAATGTCATGATTGTGTGGCTTCGCAAGGAGGATGTAAACATGCAATAGCATTCCTAATGTGGGTTCACCGCAGGAGTGAAGACCCTTCATGTACATCCATCGAATGCTATTGGATAAAATCAAAGCTTTCCAGGGTTGGTACTACTGTTAAATACATAACTGCCAAAGACTTATCCAAGGGTAAGCCTAGCTTATCATCAAATACAGGAGTATTCGAAAAGTTTTTAGCAGAAGGTAAGAAAAGGAAACTTACCAATTGTGAGATAATCAAATATCAAAAAGATTATGTTTTTGCTGGACCAGAAGGTTTTTCTATGGACAAATTAGTGCAGAAATATAAAGAAACATCCTGTGACACATTTTTGAGCAGAGTTGTGTTAACTGATAGTGATATCAGCAATATTGAAAAAGAAACGAGAGACCAACATAAAAGCAGCTTATGGCATGAATTAAGATATGGAAGAATAACAGCTTCACGGGCGTACGAATTCAGTCGGTGCAAAACCAGTGATGGTACTCTGATTGCTGTAATATTGGGTGGAAAAATTCCAGACACAACGGCCATGAAGCGTGGTAGAATATTGGAGGATGACGTTAGAAATACAGTCAGTGCCAAATTAGGAAAAAGAATTAAAAAATGTGGTTTAATGATAGCCAAAAACTACCCTATGCTAGCAGGTTCACCAGATGGGATCTGCGAAAACAGCATTATAGAAATAAAGTGCCCTATGAGTGAAAAAACCTTTAAAAATTATATATGTGATGGGAAACCAAGCCAGAAGTTTTATGTGCAGATGCAATTACAAATGCTATTAACAGGGCTTAAAAAAGGCTATTTTTGTGTAGCTGATTGCAACTACAGTACTAATAAGAAAGTACAAATATTGGACATTCAATATGATGAAAAATATGTATCAGATTTTATTAATGTTATAGTTCCTTTATGGAAAGATAATATTTATCCAATACTACATCAAAGTATTTTATAATTTTTGGATTAATAATAAAAAACAATATTATAAATTTGAATTTTATTTAACAGTCTTAAAGATATCCCTATAAAAAGTACATAATTAAGATTTATTTAATCAATGAATCTTGTAAGTTAACTAATCCGCAGGCAATAGTGATAATATCATCAAGTACTTTCACAAGATTGAGGTTTATACAAACATGTGGCTTTAACAAACTAAATTCCCGTAATCGTCTAATCAATCTTTCTACATGTATTCTTAAACTAGCGATTTGTTTAGTTTCTCTCGCCTCCTGTTTTGATAGTTTTACCCCAGTTTGAACACTTGGAGGTCGTACGAGATGCACTCCATGTTTCCTTAAATATTGTTCCACATGTTTGAAACCTCTGTCAGCCATGACACTCATACCTGGTTTCAAACTTTTAACAAAATCACATGTTTCTACCAAAGTTGTATCTGTAATTCTCCCTCCAAAACCTGGTGATATATAATTAACCAAACCATTTGGTGTACACGATACAAGGTACTTGATGGTGTTCCCTTTTTTGTACTCTGACCATGAGAGTGATTGATTCAAAGCATTTGAGGGCTTTTGCACCTCAATTTCTAGGCAGTCTATTATGCAACTTACTTTGTGATATTTACGCCTAAAGGCCATAGGCAAATTTTTTCTTATGGAATCTTTATCCAAGTTCACAATAAAAGGTCGCATGACACTAGCTATACGCGGTATATTTTTTTGAAATATCTTGCTAGCGTAAGTTGTATTTATGCCAAAATCATCAGCAAGCTCTCTAAAAGGATTATTTAATCTAATTTTCTTCAAACACATTAATATATGGTCTGCAGAAATATTTGTTTTTTCTTCAATTAATTCTATTAGGAAATAACAGTTTTTAGGAACTCCAATGTAAAAGCGTGGATTTTTCACTATTTTCAGCAATGTATATTCCAATGTCTTCGATGCCTCTTGTTTTTTATCTTCTTTTATTAAGTCGCTGCTGTCCGAACTGGATTTTATTTGGAGGGATGTTATTGATGGTGACGACTGTATATGCATCACTGATAGTGTATTTGAAATATCACTGTCAGATTCTTCCTGAGTAACATATAATTTCCTATAAGGATTCTGTACAGTAGATGAGGTGGATGGTGATGGCTTAGTAGTATTGCAACTCATTACTTTAAATGGTGATGTAGAAACAGAATGGCTAAAAGGTTTCAATGGCGATGTAACTTGATTTACTAAATTAATATTTGTTTGCACTGCTTTACTTCTGAATTTCTTTGTCATGTGTACTTGAATGCATTTATTTGCCTTCATAGGTGCATCTTGTGTAGTCATTGCATTGGATCCTGGGGTCCAGAGCGGGGCTGCTGTGGAAGCAGCCGGCAAAACGCTCAGATGGGAGACTTCATGTTGTGGAACATTTTCTTGCAAAACTGAAAATAAGAAATATTTTTAAAAAACTTATAGAATAACAACAATTCACTGACATTTTTTTTGATCAGGTATATGTGTGAAAAACCTTTTTGTATGTGCATGGATTTGACATTCATGAAGAACCAATAAGATATAGTAAATAAGATATAATTATTATAACCTCCATAATCATTTCCTGAAGAAATTTTCTACTTGACTCATTCTCGGTCTTTAATATTTGTATTTTTTATGAATTACTGTCTTGAGGAAACAACTAAGAATATGGGGGTAAGAGTTAAGACATGACATGGGTATAATATGCCATTTCTTTGTATAATAATAATGAACACTGAGTCAATGTGTGATTCAAACAAAATTATTAAAAATAAGTTGACACCTGAACTTTCCGATGAAGACTCTCTATCTGTCCTGTTTTCTATTTCTTTCTGCAATTCTTCAATCAACTCCTTCCTTTGTTTTTTGACAATATATTGCCGTTCTATTGGATCAGCTGTTCTTTTTCTTCTGTCTGGTTGACAAGCAAATTTTGAAGGAATGCAGCCTGCTTTTAAGCGTATCTGTGACACTGATCCCATCAAGTGATACTGCATATAGTTTTCCATATCATTCGGTAACTGAAATTTAAATAAAACTTAAGTATTCTGTGATAAAACATAGAAAAAAACATGAAAACCTCAAAGTTTAAATATTGAACAGTTATATTTATAATGGTTTGGAAACTATGTGGAATCTACAAATATAAGTAAATACTTACGTCAAAGTGATCTTCACAGAAATAAAGCTGAGTTTTAGGCAATATTCCTTTTATATCACGTCTTGCAAGTTTAAGCCACTTATTTCGTATTGTTTTATCATAGGGAACGAATATAAATAACTTGTCCGGGCTTTTTATAGTTGTATTAGTACACAGAGGCACTGCACAACACCTGTATGGTCTCGAACTCATATTTTAGAACTTTTAAAACACAAACAATGCAAAATTTATACTGTAGCCGTACTAGCCGTCAATGTTTACATCGAACGTGACGTCACAAGCGACGCCATGACAGATTGAAGCGTTTTGGCGGAAATGAAAAAAATTTAAAGTAAAATGTATTTTATTTCATATTAATTCCTCATTTTCAGCAGAAATTTGATATACATTGTATATAATATTTATTTCTGAACCTGATAAACCAGTTTTTCAAAATTTGTCATCATGCCTATTTCTATTTATAATAAAAAAATACTTAAAAAATATTGCAATAGATAAATGAATAAGTATGCTATGGTAGGGGATTATAATCTAATGTTATGTATATTAATATGTTTGCAGAGACATAAAAAGCTGGGTTTATCGGATATAGACAAGAGGGTATTAAGATTAATTGGAAGCGGGGTTTTGGGGGGAAGTTGATCATATAAAGAAGAGTATTTCTGGCAGTCTAATAGAGTCTGGCAAGCGAAACGTGTCACAAGAAAAGGGCGGCAATTTCAAAAATTCTTAAGCAGTAAACACTGAATGTAGTACTGCAAAATAATTTTGATACTTTTATTAATTATATTTAATCTTAACATTTAGATATCAATTAAAATTATTTGTTTTGGAACATTTGACTAAAGCGTGACTGTTCTTAATTGTACAGTTAACAGCATATCAGTAGGCCTATTCACTAACTCAACTGACAACCAAGAATCGTCATCACCGTAAAAAATAGACACTTTGATTGTGTCAAAATCACTATTTCGTATTCTCTATCAATGATGAGCAATTTCGAAATGTCAATATCGGCATTCTCCACTGGACTCCATTTTGACACTTGATTTCGTATCGATAAACTGTATTAAAGTAACATTGTTGCAAAGCATATTTGAAGTCGTCGCATAGTACCTCTTAAGCCATTTGTTGTTAAATTAAAGCGAAAAAAAATACGTATCCAATATTTTTCTATTATCTGACTGACGGACTAAATCGAATCTTTTTTTTAACCCATTCGTTATACCTATTGGCTAACAGCACTTATAATATTAAAAATTCATATTTGTCATTAATTAAAAGGGTGTTTTTTGCAACGACTTCTTTGTTTTTTTGTAATGAATATGGGCGACTCTGGCCACATTTTTTTAATAAATGTGATGTTAGCCAATTTTGATTTCTGGCCCTTATATTTATAATGTGTTCATAACACATACATGTCTCCTAAGGGATTTTCATCACAACCTTTTGCTCTGATCCAGAACCACTATCTATCAAATTAAATTAGTCAATATAAACACCAGATTACAATAAAAAAAACATTTATTTTTGTTACAATTAAGTGCCATGGATAAATTACATAATACAGGTGTCACAAAATCATCATGTTAATCACAATAGAAAATTTAAGATAAGATTTTGACTATGAATCAGACTAAAAATACTTTAGTCTGATTCATAGTCAAAATCTGTTTCTAAATATTCTACACCTGATAACAATGACAAGGAATCATCAGAGTCACTCTCTTCACTACTGTCTGCACCAACAGATATAATAAATTTTTCAAGTTCGTTTTCAACAATGCCATCTTTTAATTTGTAATCATTTTCGACATTTAAAACATGATCAGTGTATTTCTTCCAGTCACTAGGGGTAATTAAGTTAAAACACTCTATTATTAAGTTTTCCATTTCCTTTCCTGGTATTCCAATGTTTCTGCTTGCAATTTTTCTTTTTGCTTGACTCCAAACCATCTCTATTGGGTTTAAGTCACAATGATACGGTGGCAGCAATAAAAGTTCATGATTATGTTCTTTTAAAATCTCTTCAGCTTCATATACAGGCAATGTTTTCTTATCATTAACCAAACACATTAACTCTGCCTTTGTCTGATATTCCTCAAAATGTATTCCATTATTTACAAGCCATTTACGGATATCTGCTTTGGTATTAGACATTATAGGCGGTTTATTGATTTTACAATTACACTGGGCTTACTTAAATTTGGTATTAATTTTTCTCTGACCCATTTCATAAAGTTCGATGAGTTCATATCATCATGATAATCAGCAGATTTGGATTTACTACTGAACACTAATAATGCACCAGGCACAAAACCTTCCTCAGATCCAGCATGCACAACAATATGCCGTTTTCCAGAGGATATCTTTGTAGTGACACCAGTTGTTGAAGGTCCTTGCCAAGACTTTTTAACTTTATAATTCTGATGTACATAAGTTTCATCAAGGTACACAATTTGCTTTCCTTCGTTTCGTTTTATATTTATTTCTCTCAAATACTTGTGCCTCCATGCAGAAATCTGGTATTTTTCTATAAGCATAGAACGTTCATTTTCATTGCTTTTAAAAGAAAATCCATTCTTAAGCATAATTTTTCGTAAAGTCTCACGGCTACCACTGAATCCTATTGCATCTTTTAATTCATTGTGAAGGCTTCTTAATGTTGGAACAATTTTTTTCACACAGTAAAATTCATTTACTTTATTCCGAATTGCACTTAAATCAAAATTATCTAAAGCAGACACTGTTGGTTGATGAGGTCGTTTTTTCCCAGGAGTGTCCCATTTTCCTTTATTAATTAATGCTTCATTTTTTATCCTTCTTAGTGTCCTTATACTTACATCTATAAAAGATTAAACACTTTGAAACAAAGATATGTTAAATGTATTTAAAAGCAAATAATGATAGACACATACATCAAAATAATTTAAATACCTATTCAACTATGAATGCAATTTATGTTTAATTTAGTTAAGTTTATGTGCATATTTAGCATGTATAACAATTACATGGTTTGATTAGTTTCATGAATTCTGTGAATTTCCTTGTTAAACAAAACATTCTTATGACATCATTGGATGTCAACAATAAAAACCAATACATCATAAAAAACCTATGTAAATATTATAGGAATACTATCAATCTATCTTAAATCAAAACAAGAAAAGAGACCTGTCATTGAAGAAATTTTTTGTAAGTACTGCGTTTCCGAATTCAGCATTTCTTGTTTTTCTAAAGTTTTTATTGCATTTATCTCCTCCATTATTGGTTGAATATCACCATCACAGTTATCTGAAATAGAGCAATATTTTATAAAAAATATCTGTTTAGTTAATTACAGAAAATTAAAACGAAAGTATCAAAATTATAATACAAAACTAACCTAAAAAAGATACAACTTTATCTAATCGTTGTAATTTCTCCATGAAATTTTTATTTAATTCAGTTTTCACTTCAGTAAACTTGTCAATCATGATGGAAAGAAGTTTCCTCGATGAACTTTTTATCGGCTTCGACATAATTTTTAACCAAAAACACAAGTTCAAATTCGCAAAAACAACAAAATTCAATATTCTTGAATTGTCTAACGTAGTGTCAAACTGACAGTTCTATGTTGTTGCCATATGAAAACGGAAAAATAGGTGGTGTCACGTTTCGCTTGCCAAACTCTATGCGAATTTTTGCAAGGAACACCGGCAACGTAACATGACCAAGGCGAAGGCGGCATAATGTTGAAATTACACGCCGGGAAAGATCACGGTATTTAAAGAACCAGGGTTTGTTCGGAACGGTGATTTGGAGGTTTCCATAATGTCTACCAATGATTTTAGAGTTGATAGTCCATCTGCTTTCCCATTCAAGATGGAGGTTAGTTTTTGGACTCAATAACATGTCGCATAATTTTAAAAACATAGATAAGTTAACTAATTTTTCTGCTCAGTGCTAGAATATGGATTTTGAAATTTAAATTTTGATCAATAAGTAGACCTAAAGATTTACAAATAATATCAATTATGAATATTGTATATTGATTTTTCAATTAATATGTAGGATTGCTGATATTGTAATGGGAAATGCTGAGTTTCTTGCAAAATAATATAAACGTGCAACATTGTGTTATCACTACATAGTATAAAACAAAGTCGCTTTAAAATCTTTAAAACTACGCAATACGCAACGGATTTTGATACGGTTTTTTTGTTCATTGATAGGGTGATTCAAAAGGAAGGTTTTTTATGTATAATACAAGACCACAATACTATTACCGTTTCTCGTCATTTTATTTACACAATTTTAAATCTAATGCAGTTGAATAATATTTAGAATGTTTTATATACACACCATCACCTCATAACAAAACTTATTTACATTGTTTTTATAAGAATAAACAAAAGTCATTCATTACTTAAGTAGCAATTTTATTTAAGCATACAATTCAACTTACGCAATTAATTAACATTCAACACAACGTGCACTTACTACAACACCGAAAAACGTATTGCTTTTTTAAGTATCTTTTTCCGTTTAAAAAAGGACTCTGTATGTTATTAAGATATTAACCAACCAAAAAAGTCTAGTTGGATATCACGCGTAATAGTATAATACAGTGCATTTATGTAAAGTGCTGCCCTCTAATAGAAAATTGCAGAAACAGAAAAATTTATTGAAGCTAGTAGTCATATCTTGATAGATGGCGGGACGTACAGTAAGTATTAGCATATTTTTTCAGTGAAAAAGCGCTTTTGCATTTATTTAGAAAAGCACGCTTAATTAAGTGCTTTTCGTTTAAATGTTCATCTCTATAGAAAATACATTTCCATGGACTGACAGTGGCGTGACATTGACAGCTGTTTGTTTGCTTGGTGCGTTGTTTTGTTGAACTGTGTGATTTCTGTTTTTTATTTGAATGTTTTAATTTCAAAACTTACAAAAGTTCCTTTATCTGTATTGTTTTAATTTTGATACCTCTTATATGATAGCTACTTCATATTTTTGTTAGGCTACAACTGAATATGATGGCTGGAGTTTTAAGTCGGCGTAAACAAGCTAAAAGTTGTGATGAGTGAAACCGACGATACTGATGTTCTTTTGCTGATACCTCCGGATTTCTTCCTCGTGAACAGTTCAAGCTCTGAAGATTCACCGCTTGAGTCATCGAGGACTGTAGTGTATAAACCGTCGTGCACAGCGCAAGTGTTAGGAAAGCTTGTCGATCAAGTGTACTCAATAGAATCAAGACTTTCTAATTTGGAAATCAATTCAACAGTTGACACTCTATCATCATATAGTACATTATCCAGATACAAACGTTCAGAAACAACAAATAGTTTAGACAGCGTTAGTGTAGATTGTAAGTATTACACGTTCCCGCGTCGACGACGGCGACGGAAAATAAATAAAAAAGAAAGAAAACGTGATTTATCATTAACAAGCTTGGACTTGCCGTCATCTGAAAAAGGTATCCCATTATTGAAATTATCCCAGGGCATTGATGTGGCTTCATCTAAATTCTCTGATTTGAATGATAATAGAAGCATGGACGGTGATATAAGCAGCATAGTATCTACACCAAGTAAAAAGAATGACAAACTACTCCTTCATGAAATAGATGAATTTTTAACTAAAGTTGAAGCATATGAGAGCCCTGAGACAAAGTTTAGAGATCAAATGACATCTTTGAGCCCTGAAAATGTGATCAAAGCAACAGGGGATTATATATCACATAAATTAGAGAAGAGTAATCTGGATGATGTTAAATTACCCAGTGGAAGAGTTGTCTCTAGTAACATTTTGGACAAATATATTTATTTGGTGAAAAACCAACCACAACAATCCCATTCAGAAAAGTCAATCCCATCATCAGTTCCACAAAAGGTTAATGAAGACACTTCTAGTATATGTCAATCAGATATTAAAGAATCACAATTAAAGTATGATGTTAAGTCACCTAGTATAAGAAAACTGAATTTTTGTGAAACTAAAGATGTTCAACCAACTTCGACTCCAAAAAAATCTCAGCAACAAAGTACATCTTCATTAGATTCATTCAGGCCTACGTCTAATAAAATATTTGATAGAGCTAACAAAGTTCTCGAACAATATAAATCACAAAGTTACAGCCGCGCAGCAAATTCAATGACAGATTCAAGCTATTTAATATCACCCAAAAAGAATGAATTTAAGATGCCACAAATGAAACCTTATACACATGATCATAAGGAAAGTGCTAAGTTTGCTGCTATGCAGAATAAGTTAATTGATTCAATTGATACAGATCTGTTGAGTTTGAGTGATCTTTGGGGAGAGAAGGGGGAGAAATTGGAGAGGGTGGAGAGTTTAAAGTTGGAAGAAGAGAGATTAAAAAGGGAGGTAAGAGGAAATTCTCTTTTAAGCCTTTTTAGACTTTTTCAAATGGAAAATATTCTGTATAAATTTATTGTTCGCAAAATATATGTGCAATCAAACTAATATATTTAATATAATATGATTTTAGCACTGTGAGGCTATGATACAGCAGCTACAAAAGAAAATTCTAGATCAACAAGAGAAGCTGGCTGTAGCCTTAAAGGTGGATCGGGCAAAAGACTCCGCTATAGCTAAACTAAAAGAAGCCTGGCTTAGAATTACTGGTAGCCTCGATAAGGCAGAAGAGAGGCACAGAACAGCACTGGAGAAAATGGTTAGGGAAGTGGAGAATTTCAAAGCTGTTGCTGATGAAGCTCAAAGGGTAACATATAAACAATCTATACTAATATAAAGGAAAGAACAGATTTTTTGTTTGATAGAATTGAATAGGCTTCGAAACTACTGGATTGATTTTAAAAATTCTTTCACATATTGCACAAATGACATTGGCTATAATTTACACGTGTTAATTACCGTATAATTTACGGTGAAGTTGCATTATAACAATATACTTTTATCAACTTGCACTTGAAACTTTCTATCACTTATATATGATTCCAATAATTTATAAAATGAGTATAAAATGATAAAATTTATATAATAGGCCCTTTTGCCAAACTCTTTAAAATGCCTGTTGTATATCAAGAAAAACTGCAGAGTAGTATTCCTTTTTCTTCAAGGAATGATGGATATTTTGGGCAACCCTATATATCTGCTCAAATGTTTGATGACTGGGTCTTAATCTACACTGGTGGTCAGGTATTATTATCTTTTCCTCACTCAGGACTGGCACAATTCTTTTAAATTGACTTTTTGATTGAGCTATGACAACGTTGCCAAAAAGCTGATTGTTCGATCAGACGAAATCTCATTATTCGGCTTTCCTGGGTTAGCTACCATGTGTATAGTTGATAACTTACATATATTGGGAAAATACTGCAGTCTCAAAATAGCATTAAACAGTACAGTGATGAAAATTATTTCCTTTCTTGGCAGTTGATTTAATATTCTGCAGATATCAGATCAAAAGCAAGAGCCTTTTTTAGTTTGAGTAAATTAATTTGTCTTTGGATTTCTCTAGGAGACACTGTTTGTACAGACGTTTCTTAAACATTTTCTAGAACCTGGTCAATGTCACTTATAATATGTACATTCATAAGCTGTGAACATATTGCTTTAAATAAATCTGTACATAATCCAGCCTTTTTATGGAATTTTGAACCTACCTCGTGTGTTCATAAGTATTGAGATAAATTTTACTGAAAAAATAAAATAAAATGTTACTGGCTGTTATTTTTTTTACCGATTTTGGATTTGGAATGTTAACTTTTAGTTTATTTGTATCGCTAATTCACACTCGGAAGAAACTCACTTTGCAGACTAATTTCGCGCATTACAGTGATCAGAATACTGAAATATGATCTAAAAGTAAATATATATATAGCCTATGTTGTAGAAAAGTTCACTTTTTAAAAGATCATCATCATAAGTTACGACGCAAACGTTGTCCATTGCTGCTGAGACGATGTTTTTACACCGAAAATTTTTACTGTCAAAGAAAACTTCAACCGGCAATGAAGTGTACGCTAAAAGTAGCAAGGATGTCCCAACTTCTCCACGGAATGTCTCGCGCACTCATCATCCGACTAGTGTGATGGTATGGTGGCGTGTTTCGTAAGGTGTTACTCTGGTCCATTTCTGCCAACAAGGTGTCAAGGTGAAAGCCAAGTATTATCAGAATGACATGGTGAAACCCCTGTCTGATACGTTATGTCAGCAAGACTCGGCGCCATCCCATAAGGCAAAAAGCACCCAAGCTTGACTGAGGGAGAATGTGCCGGGGTTCATCGAGTGGCCTTCCTCCAGCCCCGACCTCGACCCTCTGGATTATTCTTTATGGACTGAATTAGAGCTCAGGGCCTGCCGAAAGTCACACCCAAACTTGGAGTCACTGAAGCGTACCCTTGTTCAAGAAGCAAAGTGAATTCCGCTAGAAAAAATTCGTGCAGCCATTGATGACTGGCAAAATCGTCTAAGGGCCTGTATTAAAAACAAGAACGGTCATTTTGAATAAAATATATATTTTATTGTCGATTATTATCTATTTAATGGTTACTGAAAATTTTAGAAATATAAGTTAATTATTAAAAAAGTTACGCAACTTTTCGTTCGTCTCAAAGCTTATGAACACACGAGGTAAATGTATTAGGAAATTGTGAATAAAAAAAATAACTTTAATGACATACTGCTGCCCATGTTGTATTTTGCAGCAAGTTCTTAGTAAATTCCTCACACGTGACAGACGTTCTATTTCTTAAAAATTTTGTGACAAAGCTTTTAAATTGCTCTCCGGGTTTGAAATTTAACAAGGTTAATATCTCTTCAAAGTCTGCATTTTTCGATAATTTCCGGATTCAAGGACCAATGATAATTCCTTCTTTAAGCTTTGCACTATTTAAATCATACAAAATTAACAATCGGTGGTGTGGTTTGTCGACTCGCACCAAATCATCGGAACAGCAAACGGTATTGAAGATTTTTTTCCATAAAGCTAGCTACATTCTGACAACAAATATGGAGAGTCCAATTCCGATCTTTCACTATAGGAAAATCGAAATACTAAAGATATGCTAATTTAGTCACATTAGTTATTGTTCTGGCCTACAATTTAGGTGTATACGAGCTACAAATAACAAAATTATTGCGTCGTTTTAATAAAATAAATTTTTATAAGAAAATTTCACTTTCAGTATCTATCACGACATATTTACAACAACCTTCCAGTCTTAAATTAATAAACAAATAAGATTATAAATTAAATACGTGAAATGTGTCATAAATACCTCAGATTAACAAATAATCTAATTTATATATCGATATGTTATTGCAAATAGAACAAGAAAATTGCTCAGTACTTTGTTAAAAAATTAAGTTACATAATCTGAAAAACCTTATGTGATACGGATTTTTGAATTATGAATTGATATTAAGAACACATTTACTAATATAAAAACAAAAATTTTCTTTCTTTGACAAATTTTGACATCCATTTACTTTAACCATTTTCTTTGATTTAAGATTAAATTTTTGATGTCTGTAATTCATTGTTAAAATTATTTTATTTATAGAAAACACATCACTTTGAGGCAGAATTGTATAAGGCTTTGGATCTAGCACATGACTATCAGAATAAGTGCAAACAATTGACAGAAGAGAAAAAACAACTGGAAGAAGGAATGGAGAAGGCACTGGCCAGTCAGAGAGGCATAATATGTAACAAAGACAAAGAAATTGAGATGTTGAAAGATAACTATGATACAGTTATGAAAATGAACAAGCAATCTACTGATTGTCTGAAGAATTTGGAAGATAATCTAAATAAGGTATCATCATTATCATTAATTAGCCTAGGCATTCCTAATAAGGCCTTCTGAGTGGATAAAATTAAATAGGGTATCCACTGCGCCGATTTGAGGAGCTGAAATTGGTTATCTTAAGTATAGTATTTGTTTTTGCATGAATTTTGGTTGTGTATTGCAGGAGAAAGCTGAACATGAAGTTACTAAAGGTAAGGTCAATGATTTGGGTTCTAAAATTCAATCAATCAATGAAGAAACATCATTGTTACATCAAGAGCGAGATGTATTAAAGGATAAAGTTAATGAGGAAAGATCGAGAGGTAATATATTAGAGAGACAGCTGTGTGAGAAACAAAATCAGTGTAGTGAGCTGTTGAAGAAGTGTGTAAGTTATTTTTTGTTTTTTTTTCACCTACTTGCATTTAACCTTTCAATACAAATTGCTGGAAGATAGAGATAGAAAAACATACAGCTCAATCAGATATTCTTTAAGTTTGTTGAGCTAAACCCGGCGAGTTCCTTACTGAATCCCGAGTCCTTTAAGCTGAAGACCTTTACTCTCATGTATGTTGCAATCAAAATGAAACCCGTCGTCTCACCTGTCCACATCTACAGCGCTACTTATTTGTAGTTTTATAATTAATTTTATAAATTCACATTTGTCATAGTTTTTAAATATAACCTCAAATTGCTTTTTAAAACCAAATCTGAATTTGACTGCAGGACACACTAGACTACGAAGTAAAAACACTCCGCAAGCAACTAGAAATACAAAAGAATGAGTTGAAACTTCACTACCAGAAGCAATTGGAGGATGCCGTGCTGGCTAAGCTGCAAGAGTTTCAGCAGCAACTAGACCACGCTGAAAAGGAACTGGAAAATGATGCCAGGAGCAAAGAGGATGCCATCATCGATAATTTCAATAAACAGATTGCCAGGATAGAAGAGCAGTGAGTATTGGATAACCTATTGAAATAAATAATTGATTAAAGTTATTAACCGTTTTAAAATTTCAGACATAAACTAGAAATTAATGTGTTGGAAGAAAAACAAAAGGAAGAAATAAATCTATGCAGACTGCAACTTGCACAAGCTAATGAGAAAGTGGGATTACTTGAGGTGAGTCAGTCATTCGTATAATTTTCAAAAGATGTCAATTTTGTTTATACGTACAAGTTTTTTAACATATTGAGCTTTTTGAATTTATTAAATCTAAAAAATTTCACAATTCTAATAATAATAAATTTTGAGTTTGAGCGCCACTGGATTACTTTTCGCCGCGTAAATTAAAAGAAAAGAAGTCAATTAATCACGTAACCTGACCAATAATCATGCTTAGAATAACATTATCATCTGATATGTAAGAAAAATACGTAGAATACACATTTTCTATTTGCACCCGCACTTTCAGCGTGCAGCCCTGGGCTATGGCCCAATTAGGCTCCATGGCAAATACGCCCAGAACATAAATGCTCATTTTTTTTTATCGTAGAGCAAATTGGAATCGTATCGCCGACGTCGAGGTCAGATCGCTAGTCAGTTGCACAGCGTGATGGAGTCTCAGTGGAGACAGGCGTTGCTTATACTCACTAACGGGCATCACGCCTCCTCGCTCGATCTCACACGTCCCGATAGCGGTAATCACCACTTTATACTTAAAGCAATAAGGTCTATTATAGCATTTATATTGTAAACTGATGAAATTGTATCAAGAAGTCTTTAAATGTGTAATGGTTAAAGGAAACCTATGCCTTGTTTTAATAAGTATGCTGTTTGTTAGTTAAACAAGACTATTTCTATTCTTAATAACTATACATTATTCTTTTGTATTATTATCTATTCATTTAGTTAATGACTCATAAACAGAGGTCGGAATTAGGTAGAGTTATTTATGTACTTGCATCGAAAAGTTCATATTAATGTGGACCTTCCCGGGATTTCTATTGGACAATCTTGGACATCTTTGGACATCCGATGTCATTGATGTAAGTTTGGCAACGTCGTGCGTGCAGTAGTTTAAATTGTGTAAAAGTAAATAACTTTTTATTTAAAAAATCAAGGGATTTTTTCTGCTCTTTAAAATTAATCTCGGGATTTGAGGCATATCCACTTTATTCTTTCGCTGTATGAAATCAGTGTAAGTACATGAATAACTCTACCTAATTCCGACCACTGCTCATAAATAATACTCATCCAATCTTATCTAATGGAATTCAAAATGAGGTCAACAACTACATTTTTTATGTATACTTTTTCACTATAATACCTATTTGACCAACCCGTAAACGGTCAGCAGGGCAATTCTGCTAATGTTTACGTAATAGCCACAGTTCAAAAGAACCTCAACTACTTTAATTTTGTCCTCTTACTATGTACCTGAAATCCAATATTATTAAAAATCTGTCACCAATTCACCATTGATGTCTAAGTAAGACAAAATGCGAGTTGTTGAGATTCTATTGAGGTGCGGTTATGATAGATAGATAGATGGATATAGTAATTATTTTTCTGTTATCTATCACTTAAATATTAGAAGAATTGTCTTGCAACATTTTTGAATTTGAAATCAGTATTTTTAAATGATGAGCTGAGGTTTAATTGTCTTGTTTCAAAATCGATCGCGAACCCTTTCAATTTAACATTTGACAACTATTTACTTTTTTCGAGAGATATTGAACGAACGATATCATTAATTTGATTTGATTGGAATTGTCTAAGGTAAGCGTTAGACGCACAAAGTTTTTGATTGATTGAATATTTTTTATTGCACTATGAAATACAGTAAGAAAGGTACATAAAACTAGATTCAGTAACACAAAAGGCGGCCTTATTGCTAAGGTAGCAATCTCTTCCAGGCGACCCTAGGCTAAAGGAAATGATACCAATAAAGAAAAAAGTTTTTATAATAAATAAAAGTTTTTATTTTATTTATTGCATGTCATAAAGCACAATTTGTTACATAAGCATACAGATCATGACACCCTGGAACGGTGCAGCAATTTTAGGTAGCTTTCATAATTATACAATGAAATATAAAATGTTATTATATTTCTTGATCGTCGATCATCGTTCGATTCAAAACCGATTGTAACTTTAAAACGTTACACAATAGGGATGATGACTGGGTAAAAAAAATGCAATTCTATTTAGTCCGTCAGTCAGATAATAGAAAAATACTAGATACGTATTTTTTTTTTTTACTTCAATTTAACAAGAAATAGCTTAGATAACAGGCATTAAAGTTTAGGAGTGAGGGCTCGCTACGTCACAGTTTAGTAGAAAACGTACCATAACGTGACGTCATGCGAAATTTCAACTCCACGTATCGCCGTAATTTTATGGTTACGAAAAAAATAAAAAAATACGTGTTTAATATTTTTAACACTCTACCAGACGGACAAACAAACAAAAATTAGTCGTCATCCCTATTTTATAAATCGCTTTACCTTTGAAAGTGATTGTGATAGAATTTTTAAACAAGACAATTAGGCCTTCGGTTTCGGCCCCCCGACCTTGTGCACCTAGTATTGTATTGTATACGATACTCGTTTACGTCAGAAACATTACCGGCGGCGTGTGCGCCGCTGGGCCAGGACTACGTGCCGCCGAAGGTGCCCGCGGTGGTGCCGGCGGTGGAGCGGCGCGCGCGCACCCACGACCGCGACCGCGTGTTCAACTTCGAGGGGCTCAGCGACAACGAGTTGCAGCAGTACGTCAAAATGGTAACGTGCCGTTGTTTATTTTTTAACACCTTTGCTCGTAAAGCTGATGTAATTCCACCGGTTTTAAATATACAAAGCAAATAGTTAAGTTATAGTCCATACAAATTCCATAACAGTATTATTTGCCATTTCACGCGCTGTTAAAATGGCGGGAAAGCAACTTATTTTTTATTTTTTGAGTTTCCTCGCAAATGTGTTAAAAAACGTCGTACGATATACGTGCGTATTGGTTATAACATGCTCGGCTCAATTACGGCTCTGAAATTCCGTCATATCCACCATAACGCACTAATATCGTAATGTACTATTATCTACACTCAAATCGAAAACATTCGAATTACGAATTCAAAGACGATTCTATACATACGCACTTTATATACCCATATACATAAATTTAAAAATAAAATTAATTATAGTACCGCTATCTTTTTTTTATTCATTAAATTAGTCTGGTTTTAGGCTGAATTTGAAAAACATGGCGCACGCATGCGTAGTTTGAACTTAATTTCCCGCGCTTCCCATACATTTTTGCTAATCGTGTTTTTGTATTAGGGATTCCAAAAAATTACTTCCTTGTAACCTATTTGTTTAATTTTTCCTATATAACTTAGGTATTAAAACACTCGAGTAAATTTTTATCGACTCTCGTGTTTTAAAACCCCTTCTTATATAACAGTTGCATAAACTACTATATTTGTCCAAAAAATACATATTTCTGCATGTAATGAAAATACATCATCAAACACGCACAAAAGCCCTTTCGGCTTTATCAGTGGCAGTGGAGTTCAGACGCAAACATTATAAAGTAATTACAATATTTTACCAAAGTGAATAACAGGTTACATAACGCTATTTTATTATTCGACAATGCAATTTATAGAAGGTATACCAAGCAAATTCAATTAATCTTACTTAGCAATGGATAAGAGCAGAAATTTATATAATGTAATCATTATTACTTATATCATGAAAGTATTTTTTTATAATTACGCTTATTCACATAATAAGATTAGATTCTTATTAGCTAACGCTTAAATTCACAATCCGACTTTATTTTATCGTCGTCATCAATAGCCATTTGTCCGTCCCCACTGCAGGGGCTCTTATGGATGGTTGAGGAAAATGGACCATGACCTTCAACGCTGGCCCAATGCAGATTGGAGGGTTTTAACGACTGCAAATGCAGCCGGCACCAACGGCTTAACGTGCTTTCCGAAGCACGGTTAAATTCGAGATAAAAAATTTTTGGTCACCCATCTTGTGACCGACCATTACGAAAGTTGACAACCGTATCGCAAACCGAAGGCGTTAATCGATGCGCTATCGAGCCCCTCAAGGCCTATAAATGTCCTTATTCGATTCGATTCGATTTTGCTGTTCAATAATGAACATGATATTTAGGATACGTTGAGTCAGTATTTTAATATATTTGTTGTGTTTATTTTAGTTATCAAATCAACCTACAAATCACTAGATTTTATTTATCAAATTCTACTTAACCCATGCACTACGGTCTACAGTCTAAGCTAAGGCTTAAAATTAATCTTATAAATTTTGACAATTGTATAACCTAATGTGCCCCTAATATTAATTAGGTGATATTCAACATCGATATGCAATAGCATAGTACAATAAATATACCGTTTGAGGCCCGTGGCAAATTCATCGGATTTTTTTTTAACTTATTGTGTAATAATAAATGTCAGGAGTAAGGAGTCTCCTCTGAGCGGGGGCCCCTTCCAGCTAGGGGCCCGTGGCATTTTGCCGACTTGCCAGCCTATAGTTACGCCACTGCAATAAACATACAATTCATACCTTTACTCTACATTAATTCACCATTAATCCTACCCAATACCATGTTTTATCTCATTTTTTATATATTGTCAACAGTTGTTGAGTAAGCCGGCGGGTACACATGAAGGTAGCGGAGACTTCGCCCCCGCCGAGGAACCAACCAGCGACCGGCCTGACAAACGAGACCGAAAACGTTCACTCAATAACTCTAAACCACCCTGGAAGGCCTAGCGTTCATCTTCACTGTCAATGAATAAATTCAGTTATAGCATGGTCTCCAAACACGAAATTCTCTTCGTACGTTGAACCTATAAGCCTACTGATAGATATCGTAAACATATTAGGTTCACTTTAATATAACAAAATTGGCTAGATGCGTCTGTGCGAGCGCAATAGCAATATGAGTACGAGTGAAAGAGATATGTATAATTAAATCCAACCACCATTCGTTGCCATTTCAATGGACTTCGTTAACTTGGAATTAAAAATGGCACATGGTGAATTTTCATTTGCACAAAGACCTACTTACAAATTACGACGGTGACCGAATGTATGATTAAAGTTGATATTGAGTTTTATTTTAGTAGACATAAGGTGCAAAATATAACTAATCTGTCTCACATACATCTAGCGGGAGTCAGGCGCGTGGACATAGGTGGATCTCCCGATGGCGTGATATTTCAATCATTCTGATTGGATAAGTTGTAATTGTATCATACTGCACTATATTCTATATGCATTCCATTTGCAAATGAAAATTATATAAGAATATTGACTACTTTAATCAATTGAGAATAAATGAATGTTAATATAAAACACATGTCTACGTCTTAAACAAGAGAAACTATTACTCTTATTTTTAAGTATTTTGATTAATATTAAATATGCATGATTAGACTTACTTTATAGAAATTTAATTTCTAAAAAGTAATGTTTTCTCGTAATATCATTATAAAATTGCTATTAAGTCGTATAACTTTTAACGTTGCAAGTGTAGTGGTAGTTAAAAGAACATAAAGAAGAGTATTCTTATTTGGAACTAATTTGATTTACTTAATAAATTATGATGTTACGTCATGTTGACTAATGGTCAAAAACGTTTAAACGCAATTTAAAACGAAACTAAAACAAAAAGATTAATTAATAATCACTCGGAGCTATATATTAAGTACTAGCTTTCACCAACGGCTTCGCCCGCGTGGTCCCTAGGGAAATGTTTAGTGGGATAAAAGTATCCTATTATCAATTTTCATCAAAATCCGTTTAATAGTTTTGGCGTGATTGACCGACAAACATCCAAACAAAGAAACTTTCACATTTATAATATTAATAGGATTTATGTAAACTAGTCAACATCTCTATTGTAATTTATTATTTGGAGGCGGGTAAACCCAATATTCAATATAAGCAGCACATGTATAAATTCTTCGATTGATTTGAGCCTTATATCTTTATATTTAAATTCAAAATGGAGTGCAGAATACTGACATAGAAACCTGATGTGATGCTGTACCTGACGTTTTAGTTTCATCTCTACAACAAAGCGGTAGACTGTAATGAATACAACACTATCCCACCTGAAATATTGCATTTTTTTATATATATTTTTTTTTAAATACTCAAGTCTAGGTGCTAGTATGCCTTCTGTTTTATTATTAAGTGTGTTTTTGTATTCAATGTTTATGTGTATAAATGTATTATGATGTTACAGAATGAATTAAGATTAGATATTCCCTATAGATAAATAAATAAATTTGTTTGTATGTTCCTTTTTTATTTATAAATGTGTTTATAATGAAAACTGCCCCATAATTATCTAATATTAAAATCTATCACAAGCGTTTCTAATTTGACATTTGATAGATATACCGAACGATACGTACGAATTTCACGATACAACTGTTTGATGTGATATAAAAACGACCTATTGAAAAATGACAAACGAAATGCTATCTGCAATTTTTCGATGGGTTTTAGGTAAGATTTTATTGTTAATCATTCAAATCATCATTCGTTCCAAAAGCAATTGCGATTTAAGTGACCATTATTCCACAATCGCTTTATCTTTCAATGGGATTGCAATAGATATCAGTGTTACCCATACTAAATATTTTTGATTTCATTTTATTTCGTCTTCTCAATTTATAAGTAGATTACGGAAAAAAATACACTTAAGCTGGACCCGAAATAATTAACTTTCGTTACACATACAAGTTTCCAATTGAGCTATCGGAGGGGAAAAAAACGCCTAATTACAGAATAACATTTTAATAATGAAAGTAAATGCGTGTTAAAAATATACATAACATCTTTTCATTAATACAAACAATAATGGCATCGCGATTTCTATACAATATAATCTATTTTGATTTCTAAATAAATTTACACTTACAAATAACGCTAATCACATCATTCAATGTTTCCACAAGGCAAGAAACAATTAAATCAGTATGGACAAAATATTTCAAATAAAGTAACAGAATACAATATTCAATGCGATTCTTAATTACAAAAAAAAAATACTTGACATTGATCACATCTATAAATTTAAATAATCTCTTAAAATAAATAATTACATAACAGCCATATTATAATCTCTATATTTTTGCCACAATCAATCAGTTTTTTATACGCACGAGGCGACCTAACAATACACAACGTTTAGAAATAAAACTCAATTCCAATGAATTCATAATTCCAATTTGTATTATTATCGACTTTATTTACATAGCTGAAAAATAGCTAGAAGATAATATATAACCAGAGGTCGGAATTAGGTAGAGTTATTTATGTACTTGCATCGAAATGTTGATATTAATGTGGACCTTCCCGGGATTTCTAATGGACAATCTCGTGTGGCCAACAATCATACAACTAAATAATAAGAACAACGTCAGAGATAGACAAATAAAACAAAGATAATTAACATAAATTTTTTATTAGTTTACATTAATTTACAATACAAATTTTGCAAGTTTGGACATCCGATGTCATTGATGTAAGTTTGGCAACGTCGTGCGTGCAGTAGTTTAAATTGTGTAAAAGTAAATAACTTTTTATTTAAAAAATCACGGGATTTTTTCTGCTCTTTAAAATTAATCTCGGGATTTGAGGCATATCCACTTTTTATTCTTTCGCTGTATGAAATCAGTGTAAGTACATGAATAACTCTACCTAATTCCGACCACTGTATATTACACTAAAAAAGATATTTAGATATAGATAAAAAATAACTTCCATATATTTGTTTATACACATCTATACATACATATTGTTGCGTATTGTATACACGACGTTTTAGCAAAATAAACGATTTGCTCGTTTGTCATATGCTTTGCCACGTAATAGAATATATCACAATCTATTGTCAAATGTGTTTCCACTCGCGACACGGAAATTATTTTTCTGAATTGAACTTAATAACTTTCCAATAGAGCTGAATGTATACAAGAATATTTTAGTATATAAAGTAGATATTAAAATATCATTTAGAAAGGGCCGATATTTTGTCTCACCCTGAAGATGCGCGATATCGAACTAGGATTCCAAATGGAATGCTATGATTGCTGTACAGATCTCTAATACTATTTTATACAATCCAACATTGTACGTATTGTGATAATGTAGGTATAGCTATGCACATTCTTCAAGTTTCACATGCGCATTTGAAGTTACTCCAAATTATATGTTAGGCTAAATAAAAAACTATAAAGCGTTAGCTGTCTGATTCCACTCAAATTGGTTACAGTCTATTAAGAAAATAGGATTTATATTGGAACACTATTTGTGGTAATACTGAATTTTTAAGTGTATATTTTCTAAATTTTTTTTAAATGTTAAGTCTAAGCTCTAATCAACGACTATGTAATAAGAGCTGTATATTTGTCCATACAACAAGTCACCACACGACAAATCACTGCAATCAATTTTGACAGTAAAAAATTAACACCCAATTGTAAAAACGTTCATTAAGGCTTAATGACGACTGAAAGTTCTCTAATCAATGTTTTAAGTTAGAAATTTTGTATCGGTAATGTCGCTTTAAACTAATGACAATTAAAGACTTAAAATTGATATACTGCTGTGTATACCAGCGAAGAAGTCCATATTATTTAAATGTCAGCAAAAACAGTTCATGCTACTAATCTAGAAGTAATTCCACGAACTATTGGGGATCGAGCATGACGTGTTATCATCTGAAAGAGGTTACAATACTAATTTTTACTATTTAACTGCATTTTTCATAACAGGTCAACAATTTTGAAATCGTCACTGCAAATTGAATGATTTATTTAGATATAAATCATACAATTAATATAATAAAGAAAAAAAAGTTTCTTTGCAAATGTTGGTAGTTATTATTAGAAATATACCGGAAGGTCAACAACATATTTTTATTGAAATACCCACAGTTCACCACTTTCAATAGTTCTACCAAACCTTAGATAAAAAAATATGCACTATTAAAAAATATTCTGTACATACGATATCATAAAATCACATAAAATATAAAGTCTATAAGGTTGGATATCGGTAACGGTTCACGCTAGAGCGGAGGCTGGCAGCGAGCTGTGTTTTGGTTTAGCTTTGTGTACAAATACTTTGATGCACCCGTTGAAGTCTGCGCTGACTAGAACGTGACCAGTTTGCGATGACGCCACCATTCCTCCGTCGACGCCCTTCTGTCGATACAATATAACATATGAACGATGCCTATATCCACCCGAAACAATTCACATATCGAATGGAAACTGATTTTCCCAAGTGAATTTTGACACATAGAAACTCATAACACTCGCATTATTATAGTAATACGGAATGGGGATGATGACTGGGTAAAAAAAATGCAATTCTATTAGGCCGTCAGTCAGATAATAGAAAAATATTAGACACGTATTTTTTTTTACTTCAATTTAACAAGAAATAGCTTAGATAACAGGCATTAAAGTTGAGGAGTGGGGGCTCGCTACGTCACAGTTGAGTAGTAAACGTACTATAACATGACGTCATGTGAAATTTCAACTCCATGTATCGCCGTAATTTTATGATTACGAAAAAATAAAAAAATACGTGTTTAATATTTTTTAACACTACCTAACGGACAAACAAACAAAAATTAGTCATCATCCCTATTGTCTACTTGGTACTTGTAATAATAAATTATATCTAAGAAATGATATGTAAAATAATTTGTAGTTATATTTTATTTTTGCAAAATTAACTACCGATTTATAATCTATGGATTAAAACGCAACAGAAACGCGGGCGGCCATGACGGAGCGTAGTGTGACGTCACATTGCATTAAACGTCTACGTCTTTGTTGAAAGTGACGTCACAGCTCGAAATGCCACGTGACTGATTGTTATTGGACAATTTAAATCAACGAATAAAAATATGTTTTTCCTTCAACACTTTTTGAGATTAATAAATATAATAGTGGTTTAATGTGAAATTTTTATATACTTTTCCTAAAACAGTGATGAAGCTAATTCTGGAGCTCGCAAAATCTGTGAAATAAAAGCACTCACCACGTTCTCCTTCTCTTCTGCGTCCTTATTAGTCATTTTCGCTTCCTCCTCCCTCTCGGTGATCATCCTGATCATATAATCAGGATTGGGAGCAAACACAGCGCATGTCACCACAGCATTATGAGCCTTAATGCCCTCCCAGAAGTCATTCCTGTCTCGTCTCACAGAGGTAAACTTAGAGTAATCATGATAAGTCTTCCATATATAAATACATTGGTTTTCCGAGCCGCTCACTATGTACTTCCCGTCGTGGGAAAACGATGCTTTAATCTGACTCGATACGTTCACATAGCCTTTATATTTACACGACAAATTCAAGTCTCTCAAATCGTACAGTCTTATTCTGCTGTCGTTCGAAGTCACTAGTATCTTATCATCGTTCGGCATGGGTTCTATGCCGCTTATCTTTCTGCCGGTCGAGTTTTTGCCTCTAGTTGATCTGACATCTATTTGTGTGTGGTATTTCAATTGGTCCGTCGTATAGAATATGCAGCGGCCATCGTATGTGCCGACTACGGCGAATTTACCGTTCTGGCAGAAGTTCGCGGCCGTTATTAGTTTAGTTTTGCCGTCAACTTCGTTCCAAACGGCCACCTGCAATGATGGATTTCGATGTGATTTCTTTTGCGTAAATATATTATTGAAAAATTAATTAGGAAACTAAATATAAAATTAAAAAGTCCTTTTTAACATGTTACGTTTGATAGTTTTCGAAAAAAAATTAACATCTATCAATGGGTATAATGTTATAATTTACAGTCGTAATTTAAAAATAAAAAAATTATTAAAAAAAATAGTTTTAAGTTTTATATACGTAGTCACAACACACAGGACAGTCACAGTACACAATATTCGAAAAGTTGTGCATTATGTTTTGGTAACTATAATGTATATACAATAGGGTAAATGACAAAATTAAAAACATATTAAAAATTGTGGTAATCCTATAAGATAATAGCGTAATAACACATATTTCACTTTGTTTTAAACATAAGATAATTCAAGTATAAACTTTATAAATACAGACGAGACTCACTTTCTTATCAGGAATGTTCCACAGCCTCAGTTTGCCGTCCAAGCTGCCCGACAGGAAGTACCTGTCGTCCCTAGGGTGGAAAACTATCGCGGTCACAAAGTCTATATGCTGGAAGCAGCACAAGCATTCGCCCAAGGATATATGCCAGAGACGGACCGTCTTGTCCATGGAGCTGGACAATATGAAGTAATTCTTGGACCAGGAGACGTCCAACAAGTCGGATGTATGACCGGAGTAGACGCAGAAGGGTTTGGGCGAGAAGGGCGCGGCGGGGCCTAGAGGGGGCCCCTCGGGGCTGGGGGGCGAGGCCCCGAGTGACGCGAGCGATTCTTGCGACGGCGTGGGGGAACACTTCTGTTCCGCCGCGTATTTCGTTCTCATGTCCTTTGTGAGGAGAACAAACAAAAATAGTAAGTATTCATATTTTCATATCACATGGAAAATATAAAAAAAATATATTATTAAATGATGCAAAAATTCAGTAAATGTAATTTTATTAAAATCATTTCCTTGAAGATTATCTGTGCATCAGAGGCAGTGTCAGCTCCTACCTCTGTTGCATCCTAAATTGTGGAAAAATGCGTTTCCCTGGAGTCGTATAGTATGGACACTACTAACATGGCAACTGTCTGTTACATTTACACATCAAAATTAAATCAGCTTTATTTTCTACTATTACCGTTCCCATTTTTCCAGACATGGAAAAATGTCATTACATCATCTCAGACTAGCCATTGCTGGTTGCCAGTGAATTTGAACACGTTTTAAAATCCAAAAATTTCATCGATCCTCAGTTTCTTTCCACATATTTTGCTACAAACATTAAAAACAATATTTCTCGCCTGAGATCTCACAAAACAAACATAAAACAAATTAATATTCTAACAAATATTCACAACAATATACACTTTGAATTGTTTTATTTATTTATTCATTTAACAAAGTTTCAACAGCAGTTTTGTTATTTCAATACAAAAATAAGTATGCAGCATTGACGCCAATAATAGAAACTTATTATATTTACAAATCTTATTAATTAATCATAATAAGGCCAGCTGACAAAGAAAACGTAAGTAATTAATATCTACTCTTTTTATTTCATGCACCCATAAAAAACCGTCACCGTACCAACGCTCACACACACACACACACGCACATCATAGCATCCATGTATATGCTTTAATTTACTTAAACCGTGTCAGTATCGACCTGCACTGAGATGAGCGCTCGTTGATTCACGGGTGGGACCTGGAGTCCTGAATTACAGGGTTGCCCTAGCTTAGGCTCCAGATCGCACATACTCTTCCCGACCCCTCGACTATTCGAGGGGGGGAGGATTCCCCCCAGCAGAGAAGGCCAGACCGAATATAGTTCCGGTAGTTTCGGGTTATAATGGTATGTGTAACTAGGTGCACGGTACCTGGAACATGTGGTGGGCGTCCCTGGTGACCCACACGCGCAGCAGGCGGTCCTGCCCGGCGGTGGCCAGCAGCCGCCCGCACACGCTGAACTTGCAGCACCACACCGCGCCGCTGTGGCCCACGCCCATCTCCTGCAGACCATAAGTGTATCATAAATAATTTTCAATGCAGTTGCTCATAAAGCGCTAATTTTTTAAATCCATTGAAAACACCGAAAATGAGTCTTTAAACGCGTGTTAAATAAAAATGTACTGAAATCCTTTAATGCACACGTGCTTAAAAGTATATTTTTTTAATTTTTTTTGACCGAGCATCAAAGAAATTTTAAAAAAATTGATGAAAATATGTGAAACTTTAGAGGCAAAAGTATTTCAAGGAGCCTAGAACGAATATTTTCAAATAAAAATGTATGAAACAAAAACATGTTCAAATATCACGTTTAATTTTAACAAAAAATTTTTTAATACATACTTGGTTTTATTAACCTTTATTTCCTCGCAAAAAGCATTGAAAAATGTTGTAAGAAACTTGAGCGTAAAAGGTTTTTCGAAGTGCCAATGAATCCAATTTGGCCCTTATTCGTAAAACCTTACTTTCCGCACTCGTATCTTAAATAACTATCAAATTCATATAAAGAATATACTTATGAGTAAAGGCTACTATACAATTGATGATTATTTTAAGGACCGCAACGCATGGAATTAATAGCCTTCGCTCTGTTCTATAACGATTAATTATAGGTATGTACCAACCAACCTATGTCCTACAAACTTTGAAACTTGTATTTATTATTGTTCAATATATGTATTATTTCGGTAATGACATGATTTATGTAAATGTCATTACTTATGATAAAAAGCTGATAAGTTTCTTTCGCTTGTTCTTCTTATCAGATTAAAGACGTCCTGAACAAGTGGTAGGGGAAAAAATATTTTTGGACGATTCAAAAGTGCTTGTAACAAGCTTACTTGAATAAAAACATTTTCATTTCATTTCAATCGTCGGCGTCATCAGTTACTTCCTTGTGAATGATTAAAGAGGACGGGCCATGACCCTGCACGCTGGCCCAATGCGAATTGGGGCGTACTAACGACTGCAAAAGCAACCGGGACCGACGAATTTTTTTTTTTATGGGATAGGGGGCAGACGAGCAGTCTGATCACCCGATGGTAAGTGATTACCGTCGCCCATAGATACCTGCAACACCAGAGGGGCTACAGGCGCGCTGCCGGCCTTTGAGGGACGAATATGATCATAGGGAGGGAAGGGCTGAGAAGTAGAGGGAAGGGAATAGGGAGGGGTTGGGCCTCCGGTACCCTCACTCACACGACGAAACACAACGCAAGCGTTTCTTCACGTCGGTTTTCTGTGAGGCCGTGGTATCACTCCGGTCGAGCCGGCCATTTCATGCCGAAGCGTGGCTGTCATCCCGTGACCGACCTTTTTTTTATATATTTTTTATTTTATACCGAGGGGAACTGACCTTTACATGCCGTCGACCTGGACGAAAGGCCGACTGAACCCGGGCTCTCCCGCTTAAAGAATCCCCTATCTACAGCAGGCCTACCGTGCAAAACCACTGTACCACCCTCGCGCATAGTCCGGTACCTGGTATCTTAAAATAAGTCCCAGGTAACCCCGTGACCGACCTTAACAACAACGATCGCGCCACCGAACTACTCAATATCTACATCACCGGTCTATTAGTGTCCCCTACATCTGGGACTAGAGCCTACCCTATGGATGTAGAAAGGAATCAAATGAACCCATCTGCACATCAATCATCATCATCATCTCCAGCCTACTCATGTCCTTCAGCTCAAGCCTACCGTATGGATGATATCGAATCAAATCAAATAGACAGAATGGACTACGATCCACCATGCGGTCCAAGTGCAAGATGGTCGTTAAAGACTGCAGATATGGCTTAAACTGGCGCGTTAAGCGCCTTCCGAAGCAAAGAGCTCGAGATACAAAACTTTTGGTAACCCATCCTATAACTGGCATATAATTAGCATCGGAATACAGGGAATGTGCATCTTTTTTAAAGATTTGTATATGACTTTACTATTTATATACGGATAATTCTAAGCACGCATTAACATATAATCTACATTTAATCTCACTAAACAGTTTCCTAAGGACTGTGGTGATAACGACTTTGTATAGTCCAGTTATCGAATACACCTGCCGGTTGGGATCGCCGGGTGTTAGTTTTTTTTTTCTATTTATTATAAATGCCATTAACATTACAATTTATATTAGTACAAGCCAAAAACCATGAAGGTTTGTCCAGGATGCATATTCTGTGTACAATCGCGTTGAACATAAACAAATTTTAAAAAAGATCCATACGGGTCCCCTCTACAATTGTTTATAAGATTGAAAAGTTTACCGATAGTAAATAATCGACACTAGTAGAAGTGTATGTTTTATTTAAAGCGTAAACATAAGCATACCTGCACATGTCTCACGCATCCGTCGAAGTCGTACGGCCCTTTGTGCGAGTTGGACGCCTTCAGTTTGATGTTGTGTTCCCCTCTGACGTCATCGGCTATGTCGGCCACGTCCTCCTTGTGCCGGGCGTGGGACACCTCCTGAGCTAGAGACTTCGCCGCGTCTACTGTCTTCTTTACGGTACTGCCGAAGAATCGCTTCAACCTTTTTGAAAATAAACAAACACATTTGAAAATCACCTGCGAAATCTTGTCAGTTGTATGGCAATGTTTCGCATGTGCTTTGTCTCGCTCGATGACATAACTGCATCCTTGTCAGTACGGTTTCGGACCATTTAGTAGGATCCAATAGGATCCAAAGGGAAATCTATCAAAATGGCGTTGCCGTAGCTTCATTATTAATAGCAAATAATAGATCTCGACTCTTAAATCGGTAAACAGTATCATCAACGTCACCTAGTAGTTTTTAAGTATTAAGTAGAGTATAAGACTCAAGAGTATGCTTGACTTGATACCTATGGCTCTAGTGATACAGGTTATAATCGACCGGTTTTCTCCTTTCTGTATTTATTTGACTAGAAAAACACGAAGGCAGAAGCTATGGAAACGCCATCTGCGATAAGCTTTGACCGGCCATCCCCACCCGAACATTAGAAATATTTACATAGAGATAGTAGAGTAAGAAATAGTTTTGCTTACCTTTGCTGACAAGAACAAGTGTTAAAATTAATTATTCTGCTTTAAACCAAATCACTTACTAACCACTTAACCCAAACAACTAGGTGATAAAGCTCTTAAATTACCAAAATCAGATATAACTATTTATAGATAATAGTTTCGTAAATTGAACTGACCAGAAATAACTTCCATGGCCTTAAGAGAGACAGATAGAAGTAGATTTGAAGAAATATTCATCTATGATAGAGTTGATAGAACTTTGTGTCTTATGCTCTTTGGAATAAGAGATATTGAATAAGAAAGGAGAGAATAAAAAAATATTTTAGGAACTTATTTTTACATGTCAATTCGACGTTATAGGATAGGACATATTGGTTTTGAAATGCGAATGAAAATTCTTGTATGGTCGATAAAGTTTAATCAAAACAGTCTTTTTTTTTTTCAAGTAATTTTGAGCCTCAACTCACTAATAATAAAGTTCAAATTCAATTAAAAAAGTTTAACGTTACACACAGAAACAGCACGGTTCACATCATCGTGACAGTAATTACATGTGATCAGTTTCAAAACAAAAACCGTGGTACTCAAAAGTATAGCAAACATGTGTTCATTTAATTCAAACATTACAATAACTATGGGTATTTTCCGATATACACTGCGACCACTGAACAGTATGACGTCAATTTAGTATACTGGAAGCCCGTTCCTTTATAGCTAGTTATACTGGTGACTTTTTAAAACGGAACGCAGTCCAGTATACTGTTAATCCTATTTTTTGGCGCCATTTTCAAATTTGTTAATGCAAGGTGAATATAAATATAAAGATTCCCTCTTTTCAAAAGAAAATGGAAAATTGTATAAAAAAATTATTTATCAATTAAATCCATCTTATAAATAAACGTAAGTATTTTTTTTTGTTTATTTAGAAACTTATCATTTTCTGATTCTGTTTCGACTGATCACGTGATCAAAAGCACTGCGAGCACCTTACCTCGAAATCTCCAGTGCTCACAGTACAAATATGGCGGCAATTTATGACGTCATAAATTTCCCTAGGGTACTGTAGCAGTGTACTGGCAGTCCATAACGGAACGGATTTTTCAGCAGTAAGACCACTGCGCAGTGCTCGCAGTGTATATCGGAACATACACTATATTTATCGTTTCCTTTGCATTAAAAAATGTATTAGAAAGCTGAAAAAAAAGTTCAACAAAGTTAAATCACTCAAAACACTTTGAAACGAAGCAATCCAAACAAATTTATTTTATGTAGCTATGTTAGTCGAATTTCGTTTTCACCTGAAGTTCATTTCGTGTCTCATTTTGTTGTTGATGTTGTCTTGGGAGTGGCTTTTTACCAAATCCATCATTAAACTGCTGATCAATATGACACATGTTTTAAAAACAATACTATAATTTATTTATATTGTGGGTTCACTGGTGGTCTCCACTGTAGTGTAATCGATAATGTGGGTTTAATTAACATTAAATTACACTACAGTGGTGACTATTACCGAGTAATAACAATAATGTAATAGAAAAATACAATTAACGTCGAGTGAGTCGTAAGTGCAGATTAACTTCGATTACGGTTAAAAGTATGATCATAATTTCTTATTCTTTATCAGTCTTCCAAAACCCATAATTGGGTAATAAGTCTCTTCAGACACACGCCATTTCATCATATCTTTGTCTTTGTTCATCCAGTTTTTTTTTTATAAAGGAGATCCAATTTAAAGTATGAAATGGCTGCGTGACAGCTATAATTTATGTGTAAGCAACAACTACGTAATATTTTTGCTTTTAAAACAAATTGTAAGTATATTATATTTCTTCAAAATTAACTTGCGATTTAATCTGTGGATTACAAGAACTGAAACGCGGGTGGCCATGACGGAGCTCCTTGTGACGTCATCATTCAATAAACTAAAATCAACATCATTGTTGCAACATGTACACATGTTTATTGAAATGTGACGTCACGACTCGAAACGTCACGTGACTGATGTTTTCGTAGGACAATTTAAATTAATGAAAAACAAAATAGTTTGTCCTTTATTCAATAACACTTTTTAGAGATAAATAAATCTGATAGTGGTTTAATATGACCGTATGAAAGATTTAAAATACTTTTAGATACAATCATTCTAAACATATATAGATATATAGTCTGTAATATTTTGTGTACACAACTTACTTCTCTGTTTTCCTTCGTATTGCTGTGGTCTGTCGGTCTGCCGTCTCGCGTTTTGCCTCCTTCGTTTCGTCTTCGGCGCCGCCCGCGCATACGCTTTCACTCTCTTCGTCTGTCTCTCTACAGAAACAAGTACATTGCTATGTTATTAACTATTCTCGAGACTCTAGTTTTAGATTTTTTGCGTACATCTTCACTTATCTTATAGAAAAACAACAAATTACTCTCAGATGTTCTAAATGGGGCAAGGCGAGAGCTCTAGCCAATTATAAAACCGGACGACGAGCTCTACCTACGAGGATATCTCGGAGGTAGAGCTCGTAGTCACTATGGCTGCGATATGAAAGTAACCTTTGTAAAGACTGGCAAAAAGATGGGTGACTAAAAAGTTTATTAACCGTAGGTCAACCGCGCTTCGGAAAGCACGTTAAACTTGATTTTGGTTTGTTTCGGCTGCATTTGTAGTAGTTAATACCCACAAATCCGCATTGAATAGAATATTGGAAGGGTTTTGAATAGAATTGGGTCATAAATAGGTTAATTGATTAGAGGTAGTGAAAGGTTCTTTTTTACAAGTTGCACATTATTTATTTATTCATTATTAATTACTAACATATAATACAAGTGAATGAACGAATGAAAACTAGTTTGTTAATCATATTTTTCAATCGAAACATTTTATATACAATACAAGCATTCACCTAACTATTTATATTTGAAGAAGTTTTCATTGTCTGTAAATATGATCTCATCTAATAATGAAATGTCCTTGACGTGACCACCAGAAAACGACCGACCATCACCAAAGTCCAAACCAATGAAGCATCACAAACACTTCAACTCACACACCGAACAGTTAAGATGTACCCCTCAATGTATAGTATTTCGAAACGCAACTAAATGTTTAGATTAAAACTGTTAACAAAAAGATAAAAATTATTTATAATATTTTCAACTGTAGCCACCTTTCTTTTAAAAAAGTATTAATGTCATTATTGTTACCCAACAAATACCTAAATATGTTTAAATATTTTTGTTATGTGCATGATTTTTCTATTTTATTATTTTTAATTTACCTCAACTGTTTATGGGCTTTGTAATATCTGGTTATTTTTATCGTTTGTAAGCAGGTTACTTAGATACATAGTTTAATATGAAATCTTTGCATATTTACATTGTTGTCGACAGTACAAATGTTGAGCACAATTATAATTGGCCGCAGGCATGCCCTAAGATTTAAGTTTATTTTTATATGTAATGTTTTTTTTGTCTGATGTCTGTTATTGTGCCATTTGAAATAAATAAAGTATGTAATATTGTATCAACTGTAGATAAAGCTAATAAAAATAATAATTCATTTTGCAAAGAGTTTTACTGTAATAGACATATAATATCGTCATACTTTTCACCTGAGAAAAAAATATATAAGTTTACGATTCAAACAATTTTGAACTCTACAGACAGCTAAGGCTTAAAATCAAACCGATAAACTTCTTGTTCGTCACAAGTCGTTTCGTTCTTTTTGGCTGGATAGATACATATAGTTTTAAAGTCACGTTACATTGCAATAAGTTGTAAGCATCGGATATTACACGTAACTAGGCAAATAGTAAGGCTTTACCGCTTACCTACATTCCTGAAGTTTCAGCTGAGTTACAACGGCAGTGGGTGGTAAACCATGGTAAAAATTTGCTTTTTTTTGTTAACGCAGTGAAAATGCGGCTTCAGGCTTAAATCGAGGGTCTTCAGCCAATTGGACCTGCCCCGAGAGACTGGTCCAAGCGGTACTGACTTACCTAATAAAACCGTTGCGCAGTACCCTCAAGAGGGGAATCCAAACCCACAATCATGGAACAGACAAACTATTCGCCTAATCGTGTGTTATACCTTCGTCTCTTGCAATTTATAGATTTGATATTAACTTGAGTGCATTGAATCCAAAAAAAAATATATTGAAGCCTCTAAGGTTTAATATGACCTCTTCAATCGACATTTTGTTGCGTTTCATGAGGGAACACATGGAACTATCAAAAAAACCATCTGATCTCTTAAATTTTTTTACCTGCACAAATTTTCAATCTTATGTGCTCTCTGATAAGGCATATTTCTTAAAGGACAACAAAACAAACCACCGACAAACGATCAAAAACTTTAAAATATCGAAAGCTTGAACTCAACAAACGTTTACAATGCACTGAAAAATGAGAACCTATTTGAAACAGTGATGGAGGAACGCGCCTTCCGTAACGTACTCGTGGAGGGGGGTGCATCGCGCAGTAAATTCACAGCAGACACGATTTTAGACACAGACAGCCGTTTGCGCCACTGTGTGACTGGACCCTTAGGTGGTTCCGGGCTGGAAATTCAGGAACGCTACACTTTGTAACTTTTATACGCCTTGCGAGAAATCCTTCCTTGTAAGCACACACTTACGCGATATACTCTTTTTGTAGTCTCAGTTTTTTTCATATCAAACACTGAAAATCTATATTTTTCGTTATTTATTTATTTTAAAGTTGAACGAAATAGTTTACAACTTTGGATGTACATTATAATAGATATCGTAAGCTACTTAAAATTACCAACGTTGCAATATTTCAAACGTACACTTATTATTATTAATAGCAAGTAGGATTATAAATTTTTTTAAGATGTATTAATAATACAGTAACAATTAAGTTAAAGATAGATTAAAGAATAATTCATATACTATAAATTTCAATAAAAACAACTGCATAGAAGATACTAAATCATAAAATATGTATACAAAATTAAACAAAAATTTGAGGAGAATTTATTGACGTAAGACTGTAACAGCTCATATTTAAGTTTCTATACAATGAACTCACCTTGCGTTGTCCATATTGTTGGCTATGTACTCTGATGTCAATCGCATTATATGAAGACTAAGTGGGTTGATGCATTGAGGTAGTTTATGTTCGGCCACGCTTAAGGGTACACGTTCACCTGGTACAATATCAACATTCGAGTTTGATTATCGATTATTTAGTCTATGGTAATATTATAAACAGGGAAGATTTGATTGTTTGATTGTATTGAATAGGCTCGGAAACTACTGGACCGAAAATTTGTTAATTTACGGGAAGCTTCTCACAAGCGGATGGTTATAATTTATAAAAATGGAATTGTAGAGAAAAATGTAACATTAAAAATATTTCATATTACAACACATAATGAAATGAAAATATCTTTATTCGAGTAAGCTTGTTTCAAGCACTTTTGAATCGTCCAAAAAAAATTTTTTTCCCCTACCACTTGTGTAGGACGTCTTTATAGTAGGGGAACCCAAGCGGGGATTTCGGGATTTACTAAAGCGCGGCAGATTAATATACAGGGGGATACCTTGTACCCAGTTAAGTACCTGGACCAAGTATGAGCCCTATAAAAATGGCCGCCCGGCAAGGACGAAGGATCAGATTAGTAAAAAAAAATTGATCATCTGAAAATCTCGAGCGCGTCAGATTAAGGTAAGGTGAGCTAGTTACATGCTAAAATGTGTACATACCTCTAATCTGACAATTTGAGAGTGACGTAAAGAAGGGGGAAGGCTACAAAGTTGTAAAAAAAAAACGTCACTTTGACATTCTCGAGCGTGGCTAATTTTTTTTTTATTTTGAAGGGAATCATTCAACGATTACGAAAAATATATAATCTGACGATTGTCACAAGCCGAAGTAATAAAAATTCATCGATAAGATTTAATGCGTGCAGCTACGTGATACCTATATTTCCTTCTCCGCATCACTATTTCTCTCTCTTTTTCTATCTATTACTCTCTCACTCCGTCCCCGATCTGGTTTCGGTTGCCATAACGGCATGACAGCTGATGACACAGACTCGGTCGTGGCGTGATATTGTTTACATCGTATTTCCAACGCTTTTTCTAATTTTGTTATTTTAATGTAAATTTTGTGAATTAAACTTTTTACATATTTACTAAGAGAAGAAGAGGAAGATGATTCTAGCGATGAAGATAATAATTAATAAAAAATACAGTAAAAATTATTTTCTTATAAATATAAGTATTTTACACTGTCTGTTTTGCAGTCGTTAATACCCTCCAATCCGCATTGGGCCAGCGCGGAGGGTCATGGCCCATCCTCCTTAACCATCCATAAGGAAGGCCTGAGCCCCTGCAGTGGGGACGTAAAAGGGCTGGTGATGTGATGAAATACTGCAGAACTCAATCTACTTGACAAGTTATCAATATGAGGATCCCCTTGCAGTCTGCAATCTAGTATAATACCAAGGACTTTGTCGATTCTACTAACTCAAGTTTTTTATTATTTACATTTATAAGTGTACTAACATTAGGCAATGCAAACTTTATGCATTTCGTTTTATTTGAATTAAGCTTTAAGTTATTATTATCAAACCACTGTAAAACTTTATCGAGAGCATTATTTACATCGTCAAACAATCATTACCCCTCTTAACTTTAAACACTAAAGAGGTGTCATTAGCAATAATCCTGTCTCGCACAAATTTTTCGTAAGGTGAAGAAGATCATTAATGCAAATTAGAAAAAGCAATGGTCCTAATACCGATCCCTGAGGTACGCCCATAGTAATGGGCAATATTAGAATTAAATATCTAACAATTAGATATCGTGCAGTTTAAATCTACTATAAAAATTTACTTATTAAAAAAAGCTTATTATAAGGTATCCGATTATATATTAAGAATGCTTGGGCTTAAGATGATCCAGCAACTGGATAGGTGATTTCTTCTAAACCCATTATATCTCAAAAATTATTACCCATTATATCTTTTTTCTCTCCATTTTTAATGTATTAATCTGGTAATGCCATAGTTTTTGTGAATGTCATTACTCCTATTAGAGCTGGTGAGTTTCTTACTCGTTCTTATTATCAGCCAAAAGACGTCCTGAACGAGTGGCAGGGAAAAAAATGTTGGACGATTCAAAAGTGCTTTTAAGAAGTTTAGTTGAATAAAGATTATTTTGACTTTGACCATCACACCTCGATGATTAGTCAAAACGTTTCTGCACTAGATGGCTAATTGAGATATATTAAATCATAAGATAGATTAGAAATAGATATTTATAAGATTTTTTTTTATTATATTATTTGTAAATAAATAGTAGTGCAGGGTTGCCGTCAGCTAGTGTATCGGCTCGTGCACAGTACACAGTGCACAGTGCACGTACCCGTGTCCAGGTTGAGCACGGTGACCTGGTCCAGTATCTGTATGCGGGCGAGTGCACGTACCCGTGTCCAGGTTGAGCACGGTGACCTGGTCCAGTATCTGTATGCGGGCGAGTGCACGTACCCGTGTCCAGGTTGAGCACGGTGACCTGGTCCAGTATCTGTATGCGGGCGAGTGCACGTACCCGTGTCCAGGTTGAGCACGGTGACCTGGTCCAGTATCTGTATGCGGGCGAGTGCACGTACCCGTGTCCAGGTTGAGCACGGTGACCTGGTCCAGTATCTGTATGCGGGCGAGTGCACGTACCCGTGTCCAGGTTGAGCACGGTGACCTGGTCCAGTATCTGTATGCGGGCGAGTGCACGTACCCGTGTCCAGGTTGAGCACGGTGACCTGGTCCAGTATCTGTATGCGGGCGAGTGCACGTACCCGTGTCCAGGTTGAGCACGGTGACCTGGTCCAGTATCTGTATGCGGGCGAGTGCACGTACCCGTGTCCAGGTTGAGCACGGTGACCTGGTCCAGTATCTGTATGCGGGCGAGTGCACGTACCCGTGTCCAGGTTGAGCACGGTGACCTGGTCCAGTATCTGTATGCGGGCGAGTGCACGTACCCGTGTCCAGGTTGAGCACGGTGACCTGGTCCAGTATCTGTATGCGGGCGAGTGCACGTACCCGTGTCCAGGTTGAGCACGGTGACCTGGTCCAGTATCTGTATGCGGGCGAGTGCACGTACCCGTGTCCAGGTTGAGCACGGTGACCTGCTCCAGTATCTCGATGTCGGTGAGGCGGTGGCCGGAGACGGTGCGCGTGCGCAGCGCCAGCCCCAGCTGCTGCTCGTCCCCGGCGGAGCGGCGCCGCGCCCCCCCCGCGCACTCCGAGTTGCTGCGTCTGGTACACGGAACGCACGCGTACGAATACAGATCGATTTTGTCACAATTAAGATTATTATTTTTGATTATTTAGTTTAATTTACCAAGAAAAAATATTGCAACTTTTAATTCATCTTCTCATATAAAAATGATGATTTTAAAACTGATACACAGGAACACGAACGACACTAGAGATGCCATAGCGTCATTGTTATTTTTTTTTAATAAATATAATACGGTTGAAGCCTCTATGTGGTCTTGTACTATACATAAGAACCTTCCTTTGGAATCAACCTATCTATGAAAAAAAACCGAATCCGTTGCGTAGTTTTAAAGATTAAGCATACATAGGGATATATGGACAGAGAAAACGGCTTTGTTTTATACTATGTAGTGATTAAACAACATCACACACATTGCTCAGATTCCAAGACCAGTAGCTAATGCTCCCGTATTATAGACAACAAAAGTAACACAACACCCAGATGGGAGACAATATACAATAACATTTGTTTTTTACATTGACCCGACCAGGCACGGAGGTATTATTAAAAAATCGATTCAAATCAACCCCCTGACACTCAAACGCAATAGGGAATATGCACATTTTTGGAAAATGGTTTTAATGATAATTAACATTGATATATAACTGTAAAAAAAATACCCGGCACCGTAAAACTAAAATTTTGTGACATTAATCATTGATGAAAATAAGTAATAGCTACGAGCAGTTTAAACACCGGAATTTTTGGTGCGCTCATCGTGACGTCAAAGTACACGACTAGAGATATGACATTTTAAATCAATATGGATTTTGAGTGATTGATTATGATTCAATTAACCAAATCGATAACCAATTAATCGATTTTTTTAATAAATCATATAATTTACCAAATCGGTGAAATAAAAATAAAAGCCTAAAACGTCATTTTAATTGTAATCCGTTGTTTATTTTGTGACTTAATATTTTGATGTTATTGCATCGATGTTAACTTTTTGTAACAACGACATCCCTATATGTGTACATTTTCGTCACATCCGCTCTGACAAGTAGCATGGCGTTTAAATATTTTGAAGTTACCGCATTTATTTTGCCCTTTTTAAAAATTATTTTCAATGCGAAAACGAACAAATTTTGAAAAACATTTAGAAGACTTTATTCTAAAGCAATAACGATTGTAATAAAATATATTTAAGTCTTTTTTTAATCAGACGCATATTCCCTATTGCGACCGATCGACATCGCAACTATACCGCTCCGCACTCTTGATTGGTACACTAGCGTACTCTGGACCTAATGTACGCAAATGGATTTCAAAATTGAATTTCAATAAAAACAATCTTACAAGATCTTCGAGTAATCTTCTACGTATATCACGCTATACAAACTGTCAAATTTCTCAACTTTGCACTGTAGATAAAGTTCAATGTCAATTGCGAGAAATTTTACATATCATTTTAGCCTGACGTGCAGCCGTCTATACAATAGAGTATTGTAAATAATAATTTAACGCAAATACCAATAATAACACTGCATGGTTCATGACACACATCATGGAGTTTCTTCACATTTTATATGAAAATACAAAACAATTTTTAATAAAGTTTATTTACATTTACTCGATGACTTTTAGGTAGGAATATGATCCCATTGCTATCAAAATTGTATGGCTTGTGATCAAAAAACCGCGACAAGTGGTTTTGGCAGTCCTCGCGCGGTGTTTACCTGACACTGCCTAAAGAATTCTGAAGAGACCGAAACAGGTGGAAATCTGAAGAATCAAGATCAGGACTAGACGGGGCGTATGAATTTACACCTCCCGGCCAAACTCTTTTAATTTTTGCTGACTGGCAAAAAAGCTTTCAGTGAGCTCATGAGGTACCCAAAAATCTAACTATTTTCAAATGCGCTAAAAATGTTTTGTGGTCAATGCCCAGTTCTTCAGCTTCGTCGTAACTAACGATATGCCAATCTTGCTCCACTTTTTGAAAAATAGGATCCATTTTATCCCAGCAGTGCGACCGGAGCGATATGCATCTTTGACATAAGTCCGGACTGAAAATGCTTAAACCAAATTTGTGCTACTACCACTGAAACTGTACTAGGTCCATAAACATCACAAAATTTTTCGCAGCTTGCGATGCATTTTTACATTTTTGCAATAAATTTCTTCATTAGATCCACTCATTTTGACAGTAAGAAAAACAAATGACAATCACACATTTTCCTAATTTGATTTCAGAGTTATCTTCTTAAAAACTTAAACTTTTTAATGATACCGAAACCAGAGTGTATAGGCAGAAAGATTTTATTACAAGTTTATATATACACATATGGGAAAAAACTTATTCCCCAACAAGGAAGCCTACTCTAATTCACCGAAAAACGAAATATCGTTCGAAATTTCGGACGTTTCCTACCACAATTACGTTCGTTCCGAATATTCAACGAACGAAATTTTTTTTTTTTTTTTCTCTTTATTTTGGTACAAACAGTCATTACAATAAAGTGACATGACATTGCATATTTAAACTTAAAAGACAAATAGTACCCAGAATTTGCTACAAACAATGCTTATGCTTAGTAAATGGTAACAGTTATAGGTATATTAAAAGTACACTACTATTTGTTACAAAGGAAGAAAATATGTGAATTACAAAAGCGTTAATTAAATTTATTTATAATTTGTGATTTGAAACTAGCGATAGTGTTACTAAATAAATCTAAATCCGAGAATTCGTAGTTGTATGTATGAAGACAGCGGGTAAAGTAATTGTTACGGGTGTAGTTTTTGCGGCATCGAGGTGGCACAAATATATTTAGAGAACGTGAGGAACGAACGGGCAAGCGAGCTCTGCTAATAAAGTTAATTTTTGATAAAAGATGTGGGGAATCTATGTGATAATTCAATAGTTTATAGAGAAACACTAAGTCAAATTGCTTTCGACGGTCCTTTAAAGATATAAGTTTGTGACGTTTTAAAGAGTCTATATATGGTTCGTTGTAATTATGTATACGGTAATTTAATATTTTTAGAAATTTCCTGTGCACTTTTTCGATTCTGTCAACATCCACTTTATAATAAGGGTTCCATATAACACTACCAAAGTCTAAAATTGAACGTACAAAAGAATAATAAAGTATTTTGAGAGTTTGATTTTTTTGGAATGGTTTAGAAACCCGATTAATGAAACCTAAGTTGCGAAATGATCTTTGTACAATTGATTCTATGTGTAATTTAAACGAAAGCTTATTGTCCATCATTATACCTAAATCACGAATATTATCTACTCTTTTCAAAGTTGTGTTATTGATTTTGTATTCAAAAATATCCGGCTTGTGTTTTCTCGTATAAGATACAATACGACATTTATCAGTGTTAAGAAATAATTGATTTTCAGCGCAATATAAAGACAACGAATCCAAGCTGGATTGTAAAATATAACAGTCATCTAAACTAGAAATAGTTTTAAAAAATTTTGTGTCGTCTGCATATTGCAGATAACTGCAATTGCTCAACGAGTCATTAATATCGTTAATATATAAAGAAAATAGTACTGGACCAAGATGTGAGCCCTGAGGAACTCCAGATGGTATAGGTAAATAAGTTGAACAATGGCCCTTCAGACTAACAGCCTGGCAACGATTTTTTATGTAAGAATCAAACCATCTGAGTAAATTTCCATGTATACCTAATCTCCAAAGTTTCTGTATTAAAAGGTTATGATTAATTTTATCAAATGCTTTGGAGAAATCGGTATACACAGTGTCCACTTGTCCGTTCTCATTCATTGCGCCGAGAACAAAATCTGTAAAAGCCACCATATTTGTATTAACGCTGCGTGATTTTATGAACCCATGTTGATTTTCTGAAATTAAATGTTGTATGGAACTGGATAGATAGTAAGTCACTATTTTTTCCAATAGTTTGCCGAAAACACATAATTTCGAAATAGGACGGTATTGTGTTATATTACCCTTATCTTTGTTTTTAGGTATAGGTGTTATAAGAGCTTTTTTCCACGTATTCGGAAAAACACCTAAACGCAGAGATGTTTGAAAGATGATGAAAAGAGGTTTACATAATTGCTTTGCACAACTTGATATGAAATATGGGTGTATACCATCAGATCCGGCGCTCTTATTAACATCAATATGTTTTAAGTATTTGAATACAATATTTTCATTTAATATCAGTTGCCCGAGATCGATAGATGTTTCATTCGCTATATTACTTTTATCATATTCAATATTATAATTATCTGTGGGACTAATAAAAACAGACTGAAAATATGTGTTAAACGCGTCACAAATGTCATTGCCGGTTGAAAATGATTTATTATTATATGTCATTTTTAAAGGAATAGCAGCCGATTGGCGCTTAGACTTAACCTATGACCAGAAAAAGCGGGGATTCTCCCTAATTTTGTCCTCCGAAAAAGCAATGTATTTGTGATATGTTTCATTTTCTAATTTCCTTAAACGAGAACGAAGTAGTGAAAAAATTCTATAATCAGCTTGATTCCTATATGTTTTCCACTTTCTGTGATATTTTTGTTTTTCAATAGTCAATTTTATAAGGGGTCGTGAGTACCAAGGAGGATATTTATTTGTATTTATTTGTATATGAAGTGGAACGTATTTATTAATTAAGTCATTTAAAATTTTATAGAAAAGAAGTAATTTTGAATCTACATCATCATCATATCCCTTGAAAACACAATCCCAATCTACGGAGTCCAAGCTACTTCTGATAGAATCGTAGTCAGCTCTAAAAAACATAGGTTTTTTTATTTTATTTTGTTGTAAAGGTTCCGGCAAGTTAATTGTTAGGTTTATTTCCAGTGCTTTATGATGAACGTCTTCCGGTACGAGCGGGGAGTAAGGAAGTTTTACAGAACAATGTTCAGTGCAAAAAATTAAATCTAATATGTGTTTATTATTATTAAAATGATTATTGTATTGATTGACTACTGATAAATTCATAAAATCACTAGTTAAGTTCGTTAATGGATCACTAGTAGCCTGCACGATCATACAATCAAGCTGTTTGTTATACTGCCAATGTGCATTAGAAACGTTAAAGTCCCCAAGAACAAGAAAAACATCCTTAGAATGAGAGTGAATTAAGTTTTCTGTTCGTTCATAAAAAGAGTTTAACATCGCTTCATGATTCGCACCATGAGGTATATAAGTACAAGCAACGTGTAAAAGTATTGGTATTGGAGCTACTTGACCCTCAAGGGTGTCCACACTGCGGCGGCCGCGCAGCGGCATGCTCACCCACAGCTCGTCAGCGGGCGGCGCCGCGCATCAGGCAGATTGCAAAATCGCATTAAGTTCGCGTCGTACCGCTAGTACCACCCCCCCGCCGCGAGTGCAACCACTAGATTGAACGTCGCGATCGCACCTATACACCTCATATCGATCGTCGAAGAACTCAGAGCTATAAAATGAATCGTTAAGCCAAGATTCAGTTATGCAAATTATATCAAAATTATTATTTAATACATTGGTCAAAAATGCATGAGACTTTGTGCGCAGGCCCCTCACGTTCTGGTAATAAATTGATAAGTTATGTTCCGAAATCATCTTATAGTATTAAATAGTGCACAATAGGGTAATAAAATAATAAATAGTAATTGTACCACCTTCTTTTTATTTTTATAATACTCAATAACCCGCAACATATAAAATTTAGGATTAACATCGATTAAGCTATTGCACAAAGAATTTATTTTACAATAAATAAGTTTAATGTAATCTATCAAAACTAATATTTGCTCCTTAATCACAAATAAATTTATGCTTCCCCTGTCAATAAATTTTATGCAACTATATATCAACTTAATAACTAAAATTAACTTAATCAATACAAATTTGTGAAGTACGATAATGATTATCACTAATAGTCACTTAATTTTTTCGAAGTCTTTTTCACAACTAATTAAAATGGCCTTCGAAGAATCATTTTTCCGTAAAAATATTTTGCAATCGTTCAGCCATATATACTTGTAACCCAACTCCTTGCCCAACCTACGAACTCGTCCATACATTATTTTATTTTGAGGTGATAAATGATCATTGATGAATATTGGTTTTGCAGCTCCGTCAAGGTCAATATCAGCTGTTGTCAATCCACGGCGCGCTCGAACGGCAGCCAAGAACTCGTTTTTCTTTTTGTATTGGGTAAATTTCACTATTATATTCGGCGAGGGTAATGAGTGATTTGTTGATATATTGCGTTGGTCAGACGAGTTCACAAAGCGTCTAACTCGATGAATTTGATCAACATCTATAGTGGATAGATCAAAACCAATCTTTAAAGCAATCTTATGCATTACTGAATTCAGATTTTCACCTTTTATTTGGGGAACTCCAGAAATTTCTAGATTATTCATGCGGCCACGCTGATCCAAAGAGCGATACTGTTCGGTTATGTCTGAAATACATTGCTTTGCATTGATTAGTTCGTGCTCCAATATTACACACTTATCCTTCAGGTTTTCATACAAACCACTAAATCTTGATAAGTTTTCTCTCATTTCAGTTTGAACTTTTTCATTAGCGTGATGATTCATCTTTAATTTAGTAATTTCCGACTTAATATTGCACATCTCATCATGATGTTTTTTAATACTGTCATTTTGCTTATCCAGTAGTTTTTCAAATGATGATGTCATTTGTTTTTGAAATTCGAGTAAGGTATCCTTTAGTTCTTGGCGATGCTCGGTTAAAGCGTCTGCTATTTCATGGCGAATGTCCTTCATGGAGATATTCTCGCCGTGAGGGATTTTTCGTTTTCTTGCCGTAACTGGCATGAATTCGACGTCTTTCAATATAGAAAGATTAGGGTAGGAACCGCTGTTATTACCCGGAGGGCTACGACGAATACTCATTTTATTTGTAGAACAAAACGAAACACTATTCAATATTCACTCGCAATACCTTTTCTTTATGAAGGTATACTTATTTATTTTTGTAACGGATATTATGCAGTTAGGCGCGGTAATTAATTATTCGCACTGATGCTGATTGAAACTCACTGTTGAAATAGTCAATCACAAACGAATGATGTTATGCGGTCTTGCTCTGATCACGTTGAAAAAAAAATGCAACTGTCTCTTTTTCTCGAAAAAATCTACCTATAACAATGTATAAAACTGATTGCGGTTGGTTCAAGTGAAAACCAACTGTATGGCACCGTTAACTAGGTTTAAATAGGCTAAAATAATTAATAAATTCCGAATATTAAGACTCACGGGTCCACCTTCCACCAAGCTCGAGTAGCGAATATGTTTGACATATTTATTTTCTAAACCTACTCTATTTCACGAAATGACAAAACGAACATTTGAGTTTGACATCTAATTGTTCGGAATTCTTACCTCAAAATGACGAAGTAAAAAATGTTACCTTTTCATTTTCGTTAGCAATTTTTTATTTTCGAAATGGGGTCTATATTACTATTAATCGAGTCAGCTCTCAGTAAAGAACGATTAGAGCGTAGAAGAAATCGCCTTAATATAAGAAATATTCTCGACACTTGAGTTTGTAAGTGATTACAGACTCAGTTGTGAATTATTTCAAGAACTATGCCAGGAGATTATACCTTTACTGCGTCCACAGGCAAGATCTCATGCCGTCGAGTCCACAATTAAAGTTGGAAGATATTTTATCGTAGTTCTTGATAAAAAAAATTGCATGCCTACCATTATGCATTTCATATTTTTATGATTCTTACAGCGTTGAATTTTTATGCCCGCGGAAGTTACTAAGGATTCGTATCTCAAAACATGGATGGGCCTATCGCCCAACAAAAAGTTTCGGTGTTAGGAGGTTAGGACTGTCCTCAATTCACCAGATAGGTATTATAAGAAAATATATTATTCCCTCAAAACCAAAATGAAAGGAATCTTATTAAGAGACAGTGAGTACCTAATAGTTTATTGTTTATTTTGGCTTTATGTATGAATTGTGAATAATTACTTATAGAATGATGTCATTAATATTACAGATTTTACGAGGCATATAGGCTATGCCATTATACCTGAAAAATATGACTGATAAAAAGTAAATTTATTACTAAAAACATTTTTTTTGTGCCGAAAAACTAAATATTAGTTTCATACTTACTTATAAAGTTTTTTACTGAATTGTCAAGATAAATTTCGGAACTCACAATAATTAAATAAAATATTAGTAAACACTGAACAGTTTGGTGAAAACTTGTAAAACATTTGGCGGGATGAGAATCGTTTGTATTATACGGATATTTAAGATTGCCATACGTTGATTATAGTCATCGTATAAATGAAAGGTTGTTTTTAAATATACTGTGGATAAAAGCGTTCTTTATAGTGTCTTGATCAGTTGTGACGAAAAATAAAATTCATTAATATACTAAGTTTATCGTTATATTATTATAATATTTTATGTTTAAACAATGTTTAGCCACTAAAATTTTATTTAAAAGAAATATATGTATTGTTTAATATTATATATTTCAAGTTACGGTAAAAACCGGAATTTGACATTATAAGAAATCCAATAACGCCATTCACTCCAATCGATCACGAAAATTTTCTTTGGAATCGAACATTCGTTGGTGTATACGAAAATGATAAAGAGTAGCGTTACATGCGAAATTTCGTTTTAATTTCGTTCGTAAACGAAATTTCGTTTTCAGAAAGCGAGTAGGCCTCCTGTTTGTCTACGAATTTCTCTGTACCGACATCAAAAAAAAATTGTTGCTGCATCCATTTTTTTTTTTTGCAATTATGTCACTGTAAAAGAAAGCATAAATTACCTGGTGGCATGTGTGAGGCTGCCGTGTGATGGTTGCGGGTGAGGATTTCGGCCCTCGCTGTGAGTCCGTCTGTCTAAATCCGCAGCACGAACTGTGCACTCTCCTGAATTATTGCGAAACAATATGTTACTTTTTCAAATAGTTCCGTGGCATAATAGATAAATGCCGAGGCCCGCGGTCTTTGTGGTTAAGCTACTTTCGCAAGGGTGGGTAATCAAAATACCCCCATTGTATTTTATATACAACGTGTCCCAAAATTCAACGATAAGCGGGCGCCAAGAGGTAGACCTGCTCATGTGTACTTATGGAAAAATAAGAAAAAATTATATCTTATTAATCTTTTTTATTATAAAATTAAATTCGAAAATCTTCGAAAATTTACACCTTTTATGATATTTTCAACTACCACGACCACAACTTCTCAATTACGTTCAATCTTTTTTTGGTATCGGATACCTAAATAGCACTACTATTCGCTACAACTCTTAAAAACACCAAAATGCCCGCAGTTTTTACACAAAAAACAATGAAAATGTATTTTTTCCTTAAATTTTCACAGATTTTTACGTTCCGTAATCTTTGACTTACGGTCTTGTAAAAAAAAAGTATGGACACCACTGTGGCAAGTTGTTTTTAAAATTGACTGAACTCATCAAGATTCCAAAATGGTATAATAATCTAAGATAACTAGTCACCATACATAGTTCAAATAACTGTCACCATCCAAGTTTCCTTGTAGTTCAAAAGGCCCGATCACTTTTCCATTTAATATGCCCGTCCATAGGTTAACCTTAAACTGATATTGGGATTTTTCCTGTCTCATTAGGTGTGGATTTTCATTGCTCCAGCTGTGTAGGTTGTGGAGGTTTAAATATCCATCTTTCTTGCATGTTGTTTCGTCCGACCATAGTACTTTGTCCAAGAATAAATATCTAATGAATATTTATAATTTGGTTCGTTTGTTTACAAATGGTGTGCATATTTTTTTACTGTGCTAGTAAAAAAAAAAAATAACTAACAAGGCGAGGTAAATAAAAACAAACCTCTGATAGCCTCCTTGATCTCGAGTGTAGATTCAGCGGGCATGTTCGACTTACTCTGTCGTACAGAGGTAGTCGTACTGCTTCTAGAAGATTCGCTCGTTCTCTCACTCGAGCGAGACTCGTGGACGCTCGTTGAAGATCTATCGCTTGCTATTTATAACAAAATAGATAACAATTAAACAAACTTGTGGTCAGAGTAAGAAGTGATCAAAATAAGTAAAATTATTTCGGGTCAATAACCTAAAAGGTATATGTTAATATGGATATGATTATGAGATAAGAGGGTCTATATAATATTAAACTTTGTTAAGCGATATCGTAGCAGCTGGTGCTTATTTAATATTAAAAGGCAACTATACGAATATTTTCTATCACTATATAGTATAACAAAATAATTAAATCCATACTATCTGTTTAGGTAGAAAAATGGCACTAACATTTCCGATCACTTGATGAAATATGTTTATAATATTAGAATGTAAAAAAATATTTGAAATACGTTTAATGGGTAACAGGTATATTTTTTATCACGTTACGACTTCTTACTAGAGCTTAGAAATATTTGTGAAAAAAAGTATCGCCGATCCTGCCACGGAGAGTGAAGAATAAAGACAGCTCATACGTATAACAACTAAAAAAATTAAGTCACAATCATAAAATTATAACACACCAAAAGCAAGCAGCAACTAGCGACATGAGCTACGTACATGGGAATACCTCACGCACGCGTTCATATGGCTTATCTACAACACGCGAAATTAAAAATGTATCTATTCCCAATATATAAAAAAATTCGCAAAAGACTAGTTTCTTACATAACACGAAAAGTTAATATTATATTATATTATTCAAAAGCGCAGGCATCCGCGAGAGTGTATGCAAAGTAAACGTTTCTATTTTTTTTCCTATAGATTCTTAAGGTGACACACGGCGCAGCTTCCACCAAGTGATTACTTGCCATTATATTTTGAACATTAAATCCTATGTCAGCAGCCGTCAACTTCTAGTTATTTATATATTGATGTTATGAAATGTATTATATGACATACAATTTAATGATTAAATTTAAATTAAAGTTAATTACTGATCTGAAGCAGTGTCATTTACATTCCCTTATCGTTATATAACGTTAGTTGAAGAGGTGAAAGGCTATCATTTTTTCCAGAAAGGGGTAAACAGTTGTCAAAAACAGTCTTTTGTATTATGTGATCGACGACTAATCGGTGTTAATTTTATACGTACCGTATCTGTTCTGTTCTAGTTCTAGCGAGTCCTGGAACTCCCTGGTGAGGGACTCGATGGTGCTGGCGGGGCTCGGCAGCGCCATCGACAGGTTGGCAGACGTCGGCGGCGGCGCCTGATACAGATTTATATATTACACCAGAAGTCAAAATCAAATCTTTATTCAAATAGACTTCTTTAAAGTACTTTTGAATCGTCCAACGATTTTCTCTATCATTCGTTCAGGACGTCTTTTAGCTGATAAGAGAAACGAGAAAGAAACTCACCGAGAATGAGCAATAAACTTACCAAAATTAAAAGATGCTTGGCTAAAGGCCAATTTACACTTTATCAAATAGCAAATGCAACTTCTATACAACTTTTATGCTAATAAAACAAAGTCACTGTATGTACGCCGAGATCTTTTAAATTACACAACGAATTTCAATACGGTTTCCATTAATATACAGTGTTTCAAGAGAAAGGTATATATGTATAATACACAACCACGTGGGCGAAGATATAAAAGATTTTTTAATTTTCATATGATAAGAGTTATTCAATTAAAGCGAAACATACATTGTGATATTCAAAGTCTATTCCACATATTTTCTTTTTAAATACACTAAATACTCACGTCGAGAATAAAGTTTAAAAGCAATATAAAATATATAGATCAATTCCTAAAAGATTTATATTATTAACAACGTTGCCCACTCTTAAACACTACACTATAGTACATATAGCACAATAATGACGATAACAATGATTCATTCAATGTTATGAATCAATATATTATTTTCCTTAACTTGTACTTCATAAGTTACGATAAGTTTTTCTTTGATGACATTCTGTCTCTGAATTAGTTACTAGAAAATTAACAAGAACTACTTATAACATAAAATAACTTATTATATTTTGATTAATTTTTCATTCACAATGCCATACTGAAAATTACTCTTAATACAAAATGCTTAAAAGTCCCTGGCACACTTAGATGGGAATCGAACCCACGACCTTTCGCAATCTCGGCGAGTGCTCTAACCACTGAGCTACCCAGGAACTAACAGGACCGACGAACTTTTCGCTACTACAAAGCGTATTCTTATCAATGTTCAGGCATTCTCAGGGTACCAGGGACCAAGTGGATTTTTTAAGCATTTTGTATTAAGAGTAATAAAATAACTTCTCAGTTTAATTAATTTCAACTGTCAATAGCAAATGGCATTTATGTTCCAGTAGTAGCGGGACCTATTTATTTATTTTTTATTTAGTAATTAAAATGTATAAAGGTTAAAGAATATAAAATAGGACGTATTTGAACCTTCTATTTTTTCATAATCAATAATAACATCCCTAACACTTACAATAATCTGTAAAACAATAAAATCTTCAAATCACAATATTAACGACATCTATCGGCATCCAAAACCGTCACGTTCCACCTTAACATAAAATGAACGAAAACGAGATCGAGAATAGAATGAAACGATGTTTCTTCAAGAAATGTAAATGAGGATACACACATTATGTCTCGCTGTTTACGTGTGACGTTTACTAATGGACAGATCATTATTAATAAATCTCAGTATTACAAATAGTGAGAATTTAATGTATGTATTTCTTAAATTTATCCGTCGCATTCCTAAGCGACTATTTACTTTAGCTACTAGTGGCTAAACAATTTAATTTTCGATTAAGAATACGTTTTCTAATTTAATTAAGTATAAACATTAATATATTATTATATAGCATTATGAAGGTAAAATATCTCAAAATTCATCAATGTTTTTAATATGAATGTTTCTCAAATCATATGTGCTGCAATACTTGGACCAATTTGCCGATTTGTTTTTTTTTTAACTTAATACTATAATTATGAAAATGTCAAGACTCTAACTTCTAAAAAATCTAGATAAAACTAGCTTAGAAGTCTGGTCGTCAAATATTTATGTAACTAGTATTTGTATCAAATAAATAATTATTTTTATTATAAAAGCCCCGAGTATATTGGTGGCGTAGTGAATAAGCGCCGCGGCCCGCGATCGTCGTTATTAAACAATGTTCGCAATGGTCGGTCACAGGATGGGTAACCAAAAAAAAATTATCCGTGCTTCGAAAGGCATGTTAATCCGTTGGTCCAGGCTGCACTTGCAGTCGCTAATACACTTCAATCCGCATTGCACCTAACCATCCACGAGGAAGGCCTGAGCCCCTGCAGTGGGGGCGTAAAAGGGCTGATGATGACTATAAAAAGGTGAAGTCAGGAATCTCTTACCTCCACCAACAGTGATTCCAGTTGTGGTTTCTCAACTGGTTGCGGTCGACGCGGCATGTACCGGTAGTCGTCAGTATCAGTGGTGCATATACTCAAGTTGTCACCATCCGTGGTCGACAGGGACTGTGAGCCGTGCAGTTTGTCTGCGAAAATATACTTTAAATTATATATAGGTATTAAAAAATCTATGAAAGTACATATGAAATAACCTTTGTCAGTCTTAAAGAATAGATATGCAAAGAAATAATAATTGAATTTTTATTGACAAGAATGTTTCTAACAATTAAATGACCTGTAATGGTACGTTCATACCACACTGTTTATTTTGTCCTAGATTCCCGCATCCAAACTTATCTTTAAAATCATTTCTTTTTTTTAAATATTTATAATCACTTTCATTAATTTAAAACTTTTAGAAAAACATGAGCATGACTCTGGTAAGGAGTCATCAATATAGATGAATCAGAAGGCCCACTGTGTTACTTTAAAAAAAAGAAATCATCTGTTTTTGAAACGCTTATATGATTCCAAAAAAATGCATTTTTAATATTTCTCTCTCTCTCTCTATATATTGCACAAATAATCTTAACGAATATTTCCACTATCATGTGACGCAATTGAGATAAATATGACATGTGTCATGTGGTGAAGGATTTCGTCTACCTCACAGAATGACATCATTTGTCACCCTAAGTTTATAAAAACTGGAATTATAATTTCTTTAGAATTTACACTAAATTTCCGAATTTTAGTTCGACATACAGAGTAGACTCTCACACTCGCATATATAGTCGAGAGAGGTAATTACTTGAGAAAAAGGCAACACTTATGCATATATTTTTAACCGATAGTCCTGCACCTTGTCTCCCATACTAATTAAAGACTAAAACCAGAAAGTGATTAATAAATATAAGTTGGTTAAAATTTTTAACCAAGAACTATTTGCAATAAGTGTACCAATACATATATTAGATAAGAAAATCAAACTATTCATCGCTACATAATACTAAGTAAAAAATTTGATAGCTTTTGCTTGCGATTTTGTTTAAATACACTCGAAAATTTTTAAATAAATAAGGTTTAATAAATAAGAACTTATTTCTAAAACTAAAAGGCGACTACAGCCAAATCACGCTTTAAAAAGTTTAGAACAAGAAATATATTATTTGAAATGTGCTAATTAAGGCTTAAGCCCTTTCATTTGTTTGTAACTTTATGCTTTCTACAGGGTGCTGTTGTCAATTTAATGTAACTTCACATAGCCTACAGGACGCGGTCAACTAAGACGCTTCTAATGATACCTCATTTGTCCAGTTACGATGAGTAGTTTCGAAGTTATAAGGGAACAGGCGAATATTCTTACATAATAACATACCGCTTCGCCTGAGTCGAGTAAAAATAAATCTCTATTTCCCTTTTTTTTTTGTGTTTGTTATCGTCAGAAAAAAAAAAGAAATTTGTGTAGAAAATTCTGAAAATTTAAGAATAATTTTGCTTTGGACAATATAAACTTTTTTAATGTAACCTTATGACGTTCGACATAGAATTCGTAATTGACCCAGACAACGTCTGTCAGGTCAGCTAGTGTGGAATATTATTGAATATTGGATTATAAATACGCGCTGAAAGACTATTATGGTATCTTTTGGCATATGAACATTTAACTGGTTGGAACAGGGTCAGTGGCGTAACTATACCGTTTGAGGCCCGTGGCAAATTCATTGGATATTCTATTTTTTTTACTAATTGTGTAATAATAAATATCAGTTTGCCTACCTGTAGTTACGCCACTGGACAGGGTGTTATAGTTACGCCACTGGACAGGGTGTTATAGTTACGCCACTGCACAGGGTGTTATATTAATTAGTGTACTGACTTCGTTTCTTCCTCCTGGGCGGCGCCACGGGGCCGGCGACGCTGGCGGGCCGCGTGTCGCCCGACATGGACACGATCGCGGCGCTGCCCTGGCGGCTCTGTTTCAGGCTGTTCGCCTTCGTGCTGGCTATCACATCCGGTTCCGCCATCGCCAACACTGTCACAAAATACAAATGCTTATCAAGAACCTTCGAGGTACACACAGGCATTGCTTCTAAATAGGATACATCATCATCAGCCCTCAGCAGTCCACAGCTGGATATAGGACCACTGCTGCTGGACTCCATTTTTGCCTGATTTGGGTTATTGCCATCCATCTCCTACCAGCGACTTTCCTTAAATCATCGCTCCACATTGCTGGGGGTCTTCCTACACTACGCTTGCCGATTTGCGATCTCCACTCTAGAACTCACCTATCCAATCTGTAATCCGTTCGTCGACAGATATGGAAAGCCCACTGCCACTCCAGCTTACAAATCCTGTTGATGACTTTTATCTCTGTCGGATGACATCATTACGAACTTTATTCCTTAGAGAAACTGAGCATTTCACGCTCCATTGCTTGCTGAGCGACTTTGAACTGGTGGACCCTACGTACTGAGAGTTCACGTTTCAGCACCATACGTTATGAAGAGTAGGATGCACTAATCGAAAACTTTCATCTTCTAGCATTGTGGCAGATATGTAGAGAAGACTCGACGTAGCTTACCAAACGCTGCCCAGCCCAGCTGGATCTTCCTTTTCGAAATTGTTTCGACCTATCTGCAGAATCTGCCTAAGGTGTTCGGAAACAATTTCATGCCGGTGTTCATTTACAACGATAGGTCTTGGATTTAGGTGGATCATTACTTTGGTTTTATCTAGGTTCATTTTGAGACCTATTGGTAGTGTGGCTAATGCCAGACTGTCCAGGATATGTTGCAACACAGTCAGAGATTCAGACATTAACACAATATCATCTGCAAATCGCAAGCGCGAAATAGGATCATGAAAGAAAAAAGAGGCCATAACGCACTTTTCGAACCCAGTGAAGGATGCTAACTACTACAGATGCAGCCGGTACCAACGGCCTATAGTGCGCATACAATAGTTGATGTAACATTATTTGCTGTCGAAGAATGATTACACTGCCCGCACCGATTTGTTTAAACAAATACAATTAAAACAATATGTGTGAGCTTCAGACGCTTTTATTGATACTGACCTGAATTGTCAAACTATCTTATAGAAAAATACTTTGAAAAAAATTCAACTGCCTCTCGTACCCATGATTGGATGAAACGGGAAGTCCATTGCCATAACTGTGACACAACAATACCTAGCAACTTCCACACCAAATTAGTCTGCAAGACCTACTATGCACCGTCGCACACAAATTCACACGTACAAGCGACAACAAATTTAGCAATCTCCACCAACTACCACTCTACACGTATTTCATCACTTCACGAAGCATTATCAGTTTTTGTGTAACAACTCCTGAATGGGTTTGTTGCCGTTTTTGTTAGGCAGTTTAGAAGTTTAATACTTCTACAACTAAACTATAGAGTAACTAGACTGACATCTGTTTAACGAGAACGAATTTAATCAAAAGCTCAACTCATGTTTAAATAACTTAAGAATAAATTAGAGCTGCCGCATAAGCGCGTAACATTATTGCTATAGAATCGTTAAAAGTATGATACCGTTAATTCAGTAGCTCCAATTATATTAGACGTTGAGTGCATTTTATTCAAACAGATGAAAATTAAGTGACGCAGTATATCTGCCATATATCCCGCGGTTCGCCTGGTTTTCTCTTTTGTCTTTACACTAAGCCTTAACTCACATAATAAGTAAGATGTCGGTGTTATATTAATATCATACCTGTTTGATTTCTGCTATCTGTAGTTAGTGGGTCGTCGGATGTCGTCGATGGCTCCCTCGACGATATAGACGGCGGAGGAGCCGCGTCACGTATATTTGCTGACGATATAATGACGTATGACCAACACATTCGCATATAAAGAAACCGAATTAAAATTTATATATATTTTGTGCAAATTTCTGCATTATTCAACACAGATGTGGGTAAACAAAAATTCGTGAAGTAATAATTCATTCATTCAATAAAAAACATTATATCATCTTTATCAAAAAGTCTGCTATTCCTGCTATTCTGTTTTAAAAACAACCTCGACGTCAAGCGCAGCGCTGTCATAGCATACAGGTTTATTTTAAATATAACCTACTTCAAGTGGTAATAACGAGTTTTATTTCATAGAATTCACAGTCTACTTCGATGCTATTATAATAAAATAGCATAATAATTTACGCCCACCATTTAACATCGTATAAAAAAAATAATATTGCATATAAAATATAAGATCATGTTACGTCGTGTTAAAGTTCAAATTAACAACAGATGTGTCGATTATTCCACTTACAATGGGAGTCTGAAGCGCCGCTGAGTATTCTGCCGATTCTCCCTAGTGAAGTCATGCTCTGTAGGCTCATTGTGTCGTGTGCTATTATTCTAAAACAATTGATAATCAAAATACATACATAAACAATGGAAAGTTTCAGAGTACTAGAGAATTAGTGGATTCGGAATAGCTTTAGTAGATAAATCCATCTCTCAACTGTTGTACTGTTACCTGTAGTAAGTTTAATTAAAAATCTGTTTATGTTTGCGTAGCTTGCACATGTTTGGGTAGCTTGCAGCACGAGAATAATAACATATCGACTTATATTTGATTGAATGTTTTATAATACGGGTGTAGAAGAATATTTTCATATTTTCATTTTAGATATACATGAAATATGTTAAAAGGTAGATAAAAGGTAATTCATATAATAAGTTAAAATCTAAAAACGAATGAAATTTTCAAAATCTCCCGCAGACACGCCATTTTCTGTCATGGCGTTCTCTATTTAGATTAACGTCAAAACTCCGCGATTGACAGTGGGGCGCCAGTGGCGTTTCCGAGACAAAGAGAAAACGAAATTTGAATCGCACTGCGGTTTCAGTTTACGATTTTCGGAAATTTGTTTACAGAATCGCACGACAGGTCTTCGAAACTGTATTCCTGAGGGGCTCTTTGTTTGTCTACGAACGAAAATTACAAAAATTTCGAATCGTTCTTAAATTTTTTTAATAATCATATGCGTCAATATTATCTGTGCATCACAAGCAATGTCAGGGTCCTACCTCCATTTCATTATTAATTATCGGAAAATGTGTTCCTTTACAGTCGTATTAGGGTTTCGAAAATAGATGAATTTTCGTTTTCGAAGAAACAGAGTAGGCCTCCTGCTCAGGAAATCGAACATGAAAAACGAATAGTTTCGAATAGTCTACTTTACAGTCCATTCTCTTCGTTTACCCAAGTCTTTTTCACTCACTTAAAAGGATGTTCGAGAGTGGATGTGTGATGGTCGAGTGATCCAGCCGCGTCTGGGACGCCTTCGTCGTCTTCCTCCGTCTGCATGCAGCGGCGCAGCTCCTGAAACCGGCGTCTACCTTGCACCACCTGAACAAGACAATAAAAATGATTAATTATTATTACTCGTACAAACATAACATATCGAAAAGGTCTTCAGAAGATCCGTCCTCCTTAACCATCGATAAAGAAGGCCCGAGCCCCTGCAGTGGGGACGCAAAAGGGCTGATGATGAATGTGAAGAAATTAAGTATTGGAGTTGTGATGCTACTGACTCACATTAGCTGTACTAAATAAGAAATGTTCACAAACTCGAGACTGGGGAAGACTCATATAGATTAACTCTCGGGATTTTATGCATTATGTAAACTAACTAAATTTAAAATTTTATTTCAATCAATCAATTTATTTTAGAAATAGTCTGTGTTTACACATTATAAATAATTATTCCTTTATTTATTATTTACTGAAGTATACACAAGCTGAGTATCAGGTTCCCACAATATATCAAATTTATGCAATGGATTTTAACCTCTACATTTAATGTACAAAGGTTTAAAATAGAGTGGAGAATATTCTTAATTAAAAATGATAAAAAAAGCCACTTTTCCTTAGTACTCTGAAAATAAAATATTTGTAAAAATATTTCTTTCGGCTGTTTGGGTGGATTGCCTGAACATTGATGAAAATACGCCGTGTAGTAGCGGAAAAGTAACAAAAGCTTGAAAAATTCGTCAGTCCTGTTAGAACCAGGGTAGCTCAGTTGTTAGAGCAGTCGTCCGGATTGCGAATGGGTTCAAATCCCATCACATTATATTTTTCATTAATAATATATATAATAGAGTTAAGAATTTTGTCAGTTTTGCATAGTCTGACGTGGCGTTGACTGTACAAACGCATTTATTACAACTAATCTTGAACATTAAAAAAAACACTTATCACTTAACACCCCAATGGTTTTATATTTGCCGCAAAAGTGAAAGTTAACATTTTGTTAAAATTAGTGTGATTAATAGCACGACAAAACCAGTATCATTAATTGAAATCACCTAAGGTATTACACAACGAAATAATGAAGACAGTAAATATTATTTAACAATTACTTGAAACATGTGTCCTATTCAAACACTACACTGATAATGCTGGCGTTCCACAATGAATACTGACTAAAGACACCACACTTTACATATGCACATACATAATTAACTTTTTTCTTTGTTTCCATATTTGCCAACAAGTGGAAAATGGCATGTTCATTTGGGCATGATTAATAAAATTATTGCAAACCAATAGTATCCAAATAAATATCTGTTTTATCTTCAATTTGTCACAACTTAGTATGTTAATGAACTTTATGAAATAAGTTAAAGTATCTTTGATCGCCATTTACAAATTAAGGGTTAACTTTTATAGTCTTAGGATAAAAACTAAATAAATGTGAGCCTGGTATATTTTCTAAGGCCCTAACATGGACTAAGAAGAGGTATTTACAGAAATAATTATTAAGGGAATTAAAAATTGTGTATTTCTAAAAAAATAAGGAAATCATATTTTCAAAGGATTTATATTAATATATACATTTTTAGACAAAAAATTCTATGAATATTGGAGCGCAACAGTGTTATGTCTTACACATTTTTCTGCTGCAATGATATGATTTCTCTGCTTAATGTCACATTATTGAGAGCCTTAGGCAGTTTATACTGTACTGAGTACTCTGAAATACTATTCTTCCTTATCCACTTTTTCCTTTCCTTCAGAAGTCATACTAAGAACACCTATTTAACAGTCATTGACAGTTTTCTTTTACTGAAAATATGATTATTCAACTATAGTTAATCATCATGTTCAAAGTCTCAGAATGCTTGACAGTAATTTTTAATATATGCCATTTTTAATGGTCTAATATTATTAAGTTTCTTAACTGTAACAAATTAACTCATGCGGGTGTTCATTGCCTTCTCCAGACTGTTTGTACTATACCATAGACCCCTTTCCCATGTGTTTTCAATAACATACAACCTAGGGTGTTTCAAAAGAGCTGTGATGAGACTATTTAGCACGCTGTCGGGAGTAGTTTCAACTTCTGACAGCTATGATTATTATCGGTCTGTAATATCACTTTTCATAAAGTATATTGCAGACACTTTGTTGTGCACAATGAAAAAAATATTATTATTACTTTTAATCAAAAATAACAAGTGTATTATTTCTACAGGTAAATTTGAAAGCAGTAGTACTAATAAAACAAATTAAAGAAATCATACATACTTTAGTGCTCACAACATACATTTTTAACAGTTGTCCTGTTATCCTCAACCGCAGTTACTTCTGTGATGGGAGCACTGACACTGGTGGTGGGGTTACACTCTGCAATCTTTCCTCCATCCTTTTCTGATGAGTCTGTCTCTGTTACATTGATGTTTTTACATATTGAAGATCTTCTGTGAATATTTAACAAAAAAAAATATTATAAAGATTTAAACAATGAAATAATTTTAAAATATGTAGGTAGAAATCTTATTTAAAAAGATATTTTTTTGCATCATTGCCATCCTTACGATTAATACAATAACTCAAAAATTTTAGCAAATTAACTTAGTATATATGCTTGATCAGAAAAACTAACCATATATTTGTGTCTCATTTTGTTTTGTTATGATATAAACTTTTGATTGTCAAAAGTAAACAAAAAACAAAAATTAAATCTATAATAGTGATTAGCTAAAAAGTAGCCAAACCAAGGTATTGCATTCTTCATAAGGAGTGCAGAACAGCTAACAACATAAATCAGATAATAATTAATTTAGTGGACAAGAAATGGAATAGGAATAAAAGATGAATGAGGATAATAATATATATCAGGGGATATGTTAATATCCCTATACAGATAAGGGCTATCGTGGTACTTAAACTGTGAGTAGCAAGAAACTTGGACACTCCCATAACATAGCAAGGTCATCCGTAAACATCAACCAATCTGTCCATGTAGAATGCTAATTGTTTCGTATAACTGAGGACGAATGTTTTCGTCTGCATTGGACTGTCACCATCGTCAAGGACAAACATAAAACATCAACTGAAAAACTGTGCACTAACTGGACAGCTGCATCTTGGCCAAATATAAAAAATTATAATAAATGTAATGGCTTTGACTCAAAATCTTCAACGTATCAATAGGAAATGTCTAGATGCTCTAAATTAGTAAATAAACATTGAATCAAGGTGTACATTTAGATACTCACTTAGAACCCTTAATCGGTGTAAACTCTTCAGCATCATAAAATTCTTCTGAATCGCTACTGTCACCCATTATTTTTCATTAAACATATAGCGACACCGTTCAAAAGATGTGTTTTATCTATTCACATTATATTAACTTAGTTATAATATGTTTAAAAAGCAGAAAGTTAATCAAACTTGATTATTAGCAGTCGTAATTTGACATTAGGGATGTGAAAAAAAACAGGTTTGATATTAAAATCGATAGTTTACTATGTGATAACATCGATTATGACTACTAAAATTATTTATTCGTCAGCACCAATTACCACGTATCCATTGAACTTGGCATCAAATCAAGTACACTCTTTAACACCCAAGAACTTTACCTGATGTTAATCATAGAGTCTAAATAAATAGTAGTATGTTAATACATCAGGGTCATACTATAATACTTGCTCCAAATACCTAATTGACCTAGTATTTTTTAGTTATTGCAGTTGCTTAACTATAAATACTTTACTCCGTTGTATTAAAATCGAATATTATGATATGCAGAATAATGTTAGTTGGAAATGACACGTACATGCAAATATGGTCTTAAATATCTTAAAGTAGGGTCGAAAATCGTGCGATTTAAAGAAATACTTCGTGTATTAAATATTTTGTCTAATATTGTATTATATTTATTACGTGGATCTGTTCTAGTAAATATGCTTCACCTCATCTAGTTTTAATAGCATCACTTAATAAATAGTAAAATTAGATTATTATTATCTATATTACTGACTAATTAGACAATCTTTTATTGAAATAAACATCGTTTTCGTATACTTCCGCCAAGCTAATTATGAAATCTGACACTGGTTTTAAATAAAGTCGAAAATTTTGAAGTGGGAAAAATAATAGGTGAGCATGACACGCTTAAGCAATAATGATCTTTAACTCTTTCAGTTACTGTCGAAACTGTCGAAATAATAAGTGGATCAAATATTTAGAATATTATAACAGGTGCCGCCTAGTATTGTAAAATACCTAGTAGATGGATCTATTCTAGTAAATTCGCCTCACACAACACAAATTTGCAACGATGCGGCGAATGGTTGCACCCGTCTTGGTATGAAAATGAATTATGATAACAGCCAACATGTTTAGTTAATTCATTAAATAAATATAGGCTTTAACGCTAAAATATCTCAGTAATAGCTTTGCTTCTGTTCTTTTTGCGAACTTCACAAAGTTTATTAAATATACATTGAAAATAAAATAAATAAATATTAATATTAAGTACCTTAAGCTTCCATATTATGCAGTATGTGACACAACGACGGTATACGAACACGAATATAGAAATTCCGTCTTTTAAATTGTCATAACTTGGACCTCAGAGATGGCGACACCTTGAAAACTGGCGTGCGAACTTGTTTAAAATCAACATGTTCACTGTTTACCGAGCTTTTCTATATTTTATATCCAGTTTGGAATTTATGCCATTAAAGCATCCTTGAAAATATCGATGTTATTCTAGTCTGCACAAAACTAAAAACAAGAGCATAAATTTGCATATATTGATGCCAATGCTTGGATCAATACTCATTTTATTTATGTCAATAATAATTATATTTTATTTCGAACATTGTTTAGGTTCTTATATAAGTAGTACAACCAAACTACTTATCATTATGTTAATAATTACAGCTTGAAATATAAATTCTTACAGCCTTACTTATAAAAATTCATTAAACTATGGTTATTCAATCGTTATACCAAGAATAGTTATACTAGGTATATGCTCATAATAACGGAAGAATATCTTTTGACTTATAAACTTGGTATATCTTCGGCATAAGTATTCCACCCTTATGTTCGATGCACGTAGCGGCAACGCCGCATTTTATAGACAAAAACGAAAAAAAAAAAGTATTTTGTCTGTTGAAGTGTCAAATATCACGGAGTTTAACGTTTGGTTGATTGATGTTACATGTGGTTATTCCTTGAACAAGTCGCCGGTGATTTTGTGCAAGTTATTGTAAACTATTAATTCAAATATAAACTAATATCAAAATGGCAAGTAAAAGTAGTATCTCAGCGTTATCAGTATCTGCAATATAGCTCACTGCCAAATAAACGTTCTAACAATAAGACGCCGTCTTTGGAAAAACGATATTCTATACGAAATTCGTCGTCATTGTACAAAAGGAAGGGATCGTTTCTATTAGTTCTAAATATTTTAGATTTTCTTCTCGTCCTAAACATTTGCGATCGATTGATCAAATTATTAATTTCTTCCACTTTTTGTATTGTCTAAACGCCATATTTCAATAAACACACGTTTCAATATTATTAAAAATTATCTAATACGGTAATATTTGGTAAATATCAACAATATCAAAATCTCATTTGACAAATCCGTTGCTACACCAAAGTTATACTAGGGTGACGGGCGGAATATCGGTGGAATAAGTTTTGTTAGAACGTTACATCCAGGTTATGCTAAGCATAAGTTACACCGAGTTTATAAGTTGACATTTTGCGTATTCTGCACTAATTCTCGGTATAACATTTTATACCACGTTTATAAGTAGCGCTGTTAGATTTCAATTTAATAACATTGGCGAGATAACTTGGCAAGATAAAACAATAGATTTTTATTAAGTCGCTTGTTCATTGCTTAATTTGTTAATCATACTTTCTTACTAGTAGCTACGTCAATACTTATTTTTAACAGAATTGCAAAGCCATAGGATAATTAATAATATTGGGTAATTGAATCAAATCGATTTACAAATTGATGTTATTTTTTGTGATTATTTACATCCCTAGTATCATTTTGACAATCAGTTTTTTAAGTTTTTTATTGAAGAGGACCGACTACAGATGCTATTAAAGAACATATCGTAGTTTTCTATGTAACCTTTGTCTTGATCAAGTATATCATGATATTTTTCATTTTATAATCTTCTGATATTTATGTTACACAATCCTTTTATAATTTATAAAACAGTACATTCTTCAATAATCTTTTTATGCCTCCATATTTCCTGCATAAATTGACATCTTTTTTTTTATTTTTTTTTTATTTATTGTTTTAACGGCACTGGGTTCTTGCCCTTTTTGCCAAACTTATTATCTTACAATCAGTTCATTATAAAACAAGGAAAGATAAATCCATGCACTAAATAGTTAAATTAGTATTTTGTATATAATCATATAAAGCTTTATAGCATCAGCTTAACAGCAAGAACATCACTGTCACTGTCACTATTTAGATTTGTTATCTCACTCGCTAAAATCAGTCTATGAATTTTAAAATCTTGCTGTTGGCATTTCAATAATAAATGATTTAAATCGGCACCTTCTTCGTTACAATAAATGCACTTAGAGTTGCTGATGATTTTCAGTCTGTGCAGATGGGCAGGAGTTTTGCAGTGGCCTAAATTGACATCATAATAGTAGTGTTGCCATAGAGACATAAAACATTACAAATAGTCTAGTTTTCGTTCCGAAATTTGCGTTTCAAAGATATCGACGTAAAATTATGAAATTAAGATATTTGTAAAAGAAACAATGATAGTGTATTGGTACGTATTTTCGAAATTTTATAACACCAAACAGAAATAAAAACGCATCATTTGATTTAACCTAGATTAGCACTTGGATTGTTTTAAAGTTCGTAAATGGTATTCACAATGATTTCAAAATTTCTAAATATACAATATTCTTTACAAAATAAAAGGTCCCTTTTGTTTGCCACATGTCATTCGATCTTAAATAGCGACGTTAACAAAAAATTGAGAACGGATAACTCGATTATCGATAATTTGAGCACTGTTGCCAACCCCAAGAAACTAGAAAATAGGTCATCAATTAAAAAACAGGAGAAGAAAGAAGATTAAGTAAAAATAATAGTTTATGCAACTGTCATATAAGAAGGGGTATTAAAACACGAGGGTCTGTTTATAAGTGTTTTCATACACTACTTTATCTTCACTCATAGGAAAAATTGAAATTAAACAGAGTAGGTAGTAAAATTATGCGTACGACATTTTTTCACAGTTCGAACCGCGCACGCGAGCGTCTTTTTTATATTCAGCCTTTAGAGTAAGTACTTAGATTCAACCTTAAATCATAGACTTTTTTTTTTGGTTCAATTTTCCCATTCCTACAGGGGATAAATCATAGACTAGTTTAATGAATAAAAAAAGATAGCGGTACTATAATGAGTTTTATTTTTATGTATTTGCGTTTATGAAATGTGTATGTAAAGAATCGTCTTTGAATTCATAATTCGAATTTTTTGGATTTGAGTGTAGATAAACACATTTTTCATACTATACTTATGTAATTAAAAGAAACATACTTTTTTTAGTTATAAGGACTTACATACGTAGTTGCAATAAGATTTTGATCACAAAATAAAAAATAGATAAGATAAGATAAGATAAGATCTTTATTTGCCAGAACACAAGTCATTGAGGTCACAAATAATCAGACAAGTACAGTATTCTGCCTGCGGACAGGCGTGCAAATATTGTTATTATATTATTAACTTATTACATTTTTTATTATCATATTATATATCAAACATCTCATAAAATTACAAATTATTATTATATATTATCATTATGTCATGGATTTTTTTTTAAAGCTAAAAAGTCTTTAACGCTATAAAAGCAGTGTTCTAGAAGCCACTTTGTCAGTTTTAGTTTAAATTGATTCATGTTTAACAGTTTCATGTCATCTGGCAAATTGTTATATAAAATTATGCACATATTGTAAATATTGTTTTTATAGATGTTTTTAAGACAAGGAGGCTGATACAACAGGTTTCTATATTTTCGTCTTGTTTGTCTCGGAATAATGTCCACACGTTTACTCCAGTAATTGGAATGAGAGTGAACAAATACACAGATATCTTTTATGTACATACAAGGTAGAGGCAAAATATTAAGCTTTTTGAAAAGTGGCTTACAGCTATCATCGAACCAAGCATTACACATAACACGAACACACTTCTTTTGAATTTTAAAAACTCTGTTTAGATCTACGGAGGCTCCCCAAAGTATCAGGCCGTAGCTTAAAACCGACGACACATAACCATGATATGCTGTTAAGGCAGCTTCAACAGAAACTGTTTGTTTCAGTTT